CCCCCCCCCCCCCCAAAAAGACGACCCACTTTGAAATTTGATCTGCTTTGTCATTAAAGAAGACCCCGGGTCTTTTATTCCGGAGGGGGGGGGGTTACATTGATATTTACACTCTAAGAACTATAATTTTCAATGTAATACCACGTATTTATTACTTATTAAGTATCTGAGTATACAAAAACCATTCTATCCTACTTAGCAATATAATTGTTATGAAATGTAGTTGATGACTTATAATTTCCTATCGTCACTTTTATTTTTTCTATTTATGCTTGAGTAACTAAATACTAAAAGTTTTATTTCATGCATACAGAGTTTGTTTGCGTAAAAGAGAAAATTCTATCATAGCAAAAAAATTTTGTCGTAAACCATCAGTGAATCTTTATTTTTTGTTATATTGATTAAAAATAGTACTATTGAATATTTGAGAAATTCATTTGATTAGATACAACTTCATTTAAATGAAAACATAATGAACGATTAGTATAGGAAAAATAGAAGATTGCAGTTGTTTTTTCACGTGCTCAATCTTAATAACAACAGCTTGCAGGCGATGATCTCATCTATGAACAAAAGAACAGTACATTGTATACATATTAGAAATCATCGTCGTGATGTGAGGTAACTTTTATGCATTTTATAAACAATCGCAGATGTCTACTAAATAATCTTGATAGTGATCTTTAGTGAGATGAGAAAAATAATTCGTCACATCAAAAAATAATTTTGTCAACTTGGAACGTAAAAGATGCAGTTGTTGAGGCTTCTTTTTATACTGCATGTTGTTTCAAATTTGTTTTTGTAAAATTTTTCAATGATAAAATTTAGAAAGAATATGGATTATTTATGAATGCTTCAAATTGTATTTTTCGAATGTTTCATTCATAGATAATGGAATAAGATTGATAAAAAAACAAATTAACAATATTTTTTCTTTCTTTTCAGACTTGATGGAGCTTCGATGAACATGTGTGTTTCCGATTTTATCAGATATATTCGCAAGAACATAGTTGATAGCTTATCGACATGCCTTATAAACGAGTTCTGTTTCTACTACGCTATTCTTATTCGCTTCCGTAAATATATATAGCTATAATTTCTTCATTTTGTTTTTCGTCTTTTTTTTCTACATGTATATCGTACATTGAATTCCATCTTATTTTCTTTGTTTGATATTAACAGTGAATACTTGTTTTTCTTTTTGTTCGTTCCAAAATTCATTGAATGAAAATAATACTCTTATCAACTTGATAGTTTTGCTACCACAAAAGTTTATCTAATCGTTTATCTTTTGCACATACATATCTATATTTGTGTCGAACAGTCTACTTGTATCGAAATATTGAACAAATGAAAAAACGATCATGTGTATCTCTGATAATGATAGGCCGTGTTTGTGTTTCTATTAGTTTCTTTTATATCAAAAAACTAATTGAGTTTCAACTTTGTTTTTCTTCTTGTCTATATGTCATAAATTAAAAAATACTAAATGTGTGCAATTATTCTGTATGTGTTTGTTGTTGTTGTTAGTTTTGTTATTTCTACACATCATTCATCCATCCATCATCCATTTGAATACACATCAAATTAAGAAACAAAATCCTTAATAATCTCTTGACAGATATGGTTATTGATCTTTTGTATTGTGTAATATCCTTTTGCTACGTAAATCACATCATCCTTGTAAACCATGATTAGTATTGGCGAAGTAGAAATTATGTGAGAACACATTTTCAGAAATCATGAATGAAATTGCAACTAATATCTATCGGACTCGATGTTTTCTAGCAATTTTTTCGTTAATGACAAGACGATAGCCAGTGACTTTTACCATCCAAGAGACACAATCAGGACTATAAATAGAATAAGAACGAATGCGTTTCGCTCGTTAAATATTTCATCATATGAATTTCACAGACAGCTTTGATAATTTCTCTGAAAAACTTTGTACTTCATATTCTATTAAATTTGCAACATTCTAGCAGGAGTTCAAATTAGAGTAATGAACCATTGTTCATTCGAGCAGTAATGCTTACTGTTAGTTTTGTAACAGTCGACAAACATAGTGTCGAGGTTTTCGAAATTCGACACTTTACTGTTATATCATGAAGAATATTGAGTCATTGATATTAGATCATTTTGAAATTGAAAATTACTGTTCAAATCATCATGTTGAGTCAATCATGCCTAGACGTTTTTCAATGTTTCACAATGAACAGGCTGAATTCTTGCTATTAAGCGGAAGAAATTAGAAACAGACGTATTATTTTCTTTTAAATCGAAAGAGAATCATTTTTTTCTCAAATCAATAGTCACAACATAAGCTAAAATGTAATTCTGTACTTTTACCGAAAAACTTTTCAAAAGCTAATGCAATAATTCATACCACACAACAATTAATGGGACAATTAAATAAAATCTGGTTTTATATAAACTGATGTTTTCTTGAATTTAGTGTGAAATCCTCAAAATAAATACGTTTTTCTTTATTCAAAAAAAAACTAAACTCTATTTTGTTAGTTTGTTTGATTTCTGTTGTTCCTTAGGAAATGAAATAATGACTAGATTCTGCTTGTTTATATATAGATATATAACTATATATTTATTTCTTATGATACACCAGCAAATAATTCTGATGTAGTCGTAAATCGTGAAGAACTCCGCGGTTGATTGATGTTTTTAGTAACAATTGGCATTTCAATTACAGTTGTTTGTTTTTGTGGAATCGATGACTTTGATGTTGATGGACGACGATGTGCAGTCTATAATAATACAATATTTATACTATTGTCCATTGAAGTCATTCTATTAGTATTTTGTTAACGTTTTGATTTAAAGTGTACAGTGATATTTTATTGCTCATGTGATGACACTTCAGGTGATAAGGGTGCATGATCTAATGTTTTTAAATTTCTTACAGGTACAAGTACCTCTGAGCCTAATGTTGATCTATGATCAGCTCGACCTGGTGTCCATGCAACGGATTGCGGTGGAGGTCGATAGGCAAGAGTTGTACCTCGTACAATACGTTTTCTCATTTCACGTAAATCAACTGATGTCTGTAATGGAGATGATTGATCTTTTAAAACGGCAGCAGTAACTGCACTTGGAGGTGGTTGTCGAAAACCATGTTTTGCTCTTGCTGCATTAATTTCATATCGAGCATAAGCTTGAGCAAGATTATAAGCAACCAATGGTTTTTGTAAGGCATTACCATCATTATCATTACCAGTACCATTTGTAATACCCGGTAATTTTTGTGTTTCTTTATATGCTAAGCCTTTATAAACAAATTTTGATTTTGGTACAGGTCGAATATTTGGTAAAACTTGTCGATTATAACCCGTTGGATCTTGTACTGATTGTTCTTGTTGTAAAGCTTGTAAATCTTCCATAGCGTGTCGACTTCGTTTTGATATTGGTTTCGCTTGAACATGCGCACAGGTAACAACGGATTGCCACATTCTGTTGAATTCTTGTTTACAATCGTCTTTATCGAGAAATGATACCGATGTAGAATATTGTAATTCGCTACTGCTAGTGATTAAATTGTCATCTGTTATTGGTGTGCCGGAGGGCGGTTTTTTCTTTGCTAATAAATGTTCGTTATTATTTAGTTGTGAAATATTAAAATCTGTGCGTGTAATAGTTTTTCTATCTTTATATTGTGATAGAATTGTATTTGATCGATCAGTTCCTGTTTTTCTTATTAATGGAACACTTTGAGCTGCAACCGATTTGAAAAATTTTGTCGAGGAAAGAAATGGTTGGTTTTCAAATTGCCGTACTTGAATTGGTGAAAAATACACGTGACCGTTATAACCTCGCCAAACCTATAAAAATAAAATTTTATGAAACAATATATTCCTTCTGAATTTTACTAAGAATACGTAAATACGTTACAATTATTAATAGAACGAGATTCTCTAATGTAGTTTTTTTTTAAACAGAATCATTTTGAAAATATTTAAAAATTGAATAAAAATTCAAATGATGTTAATTATCATGAAAAATTCTAATCTTTACAAAATTCCGTTCATTAATACGAGAAATATTTCACGTAACTGAACTCACGAAATAAACTGAAATGCAGCTGAGATGAAAAAAAAGAGAAAATTTTGAATTTTTAGTTAACTGAAACATAAAAATGTACATAATTTTAAACAAGAAAATTCTCTGCCAATTGGCATAAAGAAAAAATCAAAAGTGAAAAACAAAAGACATTATTTCACCATGTAACCAGTTCTCTTTTTCTTTCTTCTTTTTTTCTATATTGAAATCTATGTCTACATTAAGAAAAAGTATGTGCCTACGTATGTATGTTGTTGAGCATTGTCGCAATCTGTGCTACATACTCGAATACAAATTGATTTCTTTGTCACTACTCAATGTTTCATTGATTCAACAAGCAAAACAAAGAAAAATATAATGACGAACAACTAAAATGCTAGCCTGAAGAGGTTCTAATGGAACTGGACGAGTTTGTTCGAGATAATAAAATTGTGGGTGGAGAAAACCAAAGCCTGGTGGTGGATCACTCGAGCCTAGTACAGTTGCAACATCATGATCTAGTTTATTTTGACGAGGAGTTTTTAATGTTTGCCGAACTACTGTAGCATAGTCATAAACTGATTTTGAAATAGCAGTTTGCGTTTGATTAGTAATCAATGATAAGGATGATGTTTCCTGTATAAGTCTGTACAGAAGAAAACAAATCATATGTTGATTTTATTTTATTTTTTCTAAGAAATTCTTCTTCGCTCACTCTCTCTCTCTCTCTCTCTTATACGTACGTGTTATTTTCAATAACATCAACACTTTCAACCTTTGCTATTGAAAGCAATGATATATCTTGATGTTGTTTTTTGTTAAAAATATCTTCAATTTCCTCATCAACCATCGATTCTTCATCAGAATCAACAGATGACTTAATATCAATATTCAAATCATCGCCATCGCTTAGGCCAAATGCTATGTCTTCTTCATCATTCGGTACTGTTGTGATAAAAACTTCTTCATTATTTCCATTCATTCTAGATGAAAATCAAAACTTCAAATCGAGTCGATGCACTTTTTTTTCTTCTTTTACTTACATATTCGATAAGATCAAATGCGCTTATATGTCGCATTAAAATTGAAAAAAACGAACACTTTATGTGTGTATTTTCTCTTCTCTTTTACTAATAATCGTAAAAAGAAGGAAAAAAAGCTTTGTAACGTTTACTTTAACTTTGCTTTTAAACTCTTTCCTTTAACATACTTTTGCAATTAAATAGAAAAACAACGCATAGATAATAATGAAAACACCTCTTCATATACCTGTTCTACTTGACCACGTTCTAAAAATTTTATGTCATACTGAAAAACAAGCAAGTTTTTTCAAAGAAAAACATTATATGCAAAAAACAAATCTATGTACACAAATAATAGATTTTTTTGGATTTAACTTTTGGGGCTGGTGGTCATACAAAAGGTCTATTAAATTGTAATGGAAACTCAATAGCGTATGTACTTGATCGTGATCAAAATTCAATTGAATTGGCTCGTGAAATGGCTAAAGAGTATCCGTGTGAGACACGAAGTTCTTTTTTATCTTTGAGAAAAACTTAAAATTTGTTATTTTTCGAACTAGAAACCGATTATTTCCATTTCATGGTCAATTTAGTGAATTGAAAAACATATTTAAGCATAAACAAAACTTTTTTGATGGAATCCTATTAGATGCTGGTACAAGGTAATAGAAGGATATAAGCAGAACAAAATGCAAATTTATTTCATATTATTAGTACAATGCAGTTAAATGATGCAAAGCGTGGTTTCAGTTTTCGGCATGATGGTCCATTAGATATGCGAATGAATACGAAATCGAAATCAATTAATGCTTATGATCTTGTCAATAGATTAGATGAAACAGCATTAAGTCGAATTATTCGTTTATACGGTGAAGATCAACGTCATCGAAAAATAGCTCGGTGTATTTACCAATGGCGTTCTACATTTGGTTCCATTTCAACAACAACACAATTGGCTAATGTAATCAAAGTAGGCCTAGGAGGAAGGTAAAATTTAACTACTCATCGAAATTCTATACAAAGAAGTTTTTTATTTTATTTAGTGCATCAGATGTCGATAAACTTAACCGTCCAATTCATCCAGCAACAAAAACATTTCAAGCATTAAGAATTGTTGTTAATGATGAACTTAATGAACTTTACAATGGTCTTGAGCAAGCCTATACGTAAGTAATATATAAGTTCTTACCCGACTTTATGAGTTTATTTATTCAGTATCTTCTCTAGGTCGAAAGAATTTTGATGATCTGTCATCGTCTACTTGAAAAATACTCTGTTTTCAGTAAAATGAGGTCATTCTTCCTATGTTTCCCTTTCGTTCTGTTTTTATCTTGTGTTTGATCGAACATTTTACAGTTTTCAAAGAAGCTCTATCGTATTTAATTGTATTTTTTTGTTTGAAAGGGCATGATGAGATTCAACTTTTTTTTTGACTTAAACTTTGTTATTATTACATAGAGAATGTTTTTGAGCTAAGAGTAGCATTTTTAAGGGTTGAACTTTTCTCCCAGTCAGAAGTAAGAATTACAAAAAAAAGGTTCTGCGGTGTTCTGAATTCTGACATGCTCTTTCAATACGAAAAATATATATTTGAATGAAGACCTACGACAACACTTAATTTGTCTGATCAGCTGTTTTTGTTAAGTATCAAACGAAAGTGTTTCGATATATACATGAAAATATAATGCTATTCGAGTGTATCTCATCTCACCGACGAAAAGTTTTCTGAGAAACTGAGCACTGAAACATAATAATCATTGAGTTAGTATGACGATATTTTAGTGATGAATTTTATTATTCTTCAAAATGAAAAAGAAATATTTTTTTAAGAAAATACTACACATGACTCGTCAATAGAATAAAAACAATTTTGTAACTAACTGTTTCAGTTTGACATCAATATATATTCTTTATTTGATTGCCACGCAAGGATATCTTTTATTTCAAGTAATTTTTTCTCGCAAATCTTAATTAAACAAACTTATCTCTTAATTGAATTATATTTGATGCGTCCATTACTCATGCGCTTGTTTTTTTCATTCGTCAAACATACAATGAATTCATCATTTTTGAAGAAAAAAGGAAGTGACATTCAACACATGAAACAGATTTATAGTTTTTCATTGATCATTCAGAGAAAAGCAAAAATTGCATTCTAAATAAACTTCTCTATTAGATCTCAATTGAAATCAATTGTTCATATTAAAGAATTATATTGGAATCTTGATTCTTATTTTAGATTGCTCAAGCCCGGTGGTACATTATTATGTATTAGTTTTCATTCATTAGAAGATCGTATAATAAAAAGACACTTTCAAGGCATTGTTTTACATGCCGATAACGTATCATCCAATCTTGATGAAAAATCACTATCTGTTCAAGCTGAAAACCAAGTACGATATCATCTACAAACAAAAAAAATTACTGAAGCAGATGATAATGAACTTGATGGAAATCCAAAAGCAAGATCGGCTAAATTAAGATATGGAATTAAAATTTGATCTGTTTTTGCATTTCAATTTATATAGTTATAAAGATAGAGAGAATGATAAATAAATAGAATACATTTCATACTGTTTTCAATCATTGCCAAGTACTTCAGTTCGCGCACGCTTTTTATGTTGAGTATCATAACGTGTTTGTAAATTTTTCAACTCTTTTCCAAATTGAGTCTGTAAATGCCAACCATAATCGTGACCATGAGAATTCGGCGTCTTTAGAATAATAATAATAAAAAAAGAGAATTTATAAAAATGAATACGAAAACAAAAGCTACAAACCGTATTAGAAAAGCGTGTCGAATTTTCCAGTGTATGTTTTCTTGGCATGAAATTTCCCTTGAATAGTTAAATATAATTTTTATTGAAACCTGTTGTTTTTTGATGATATTAATTATTACCTTACAATCATAATCAGCCATCCAACCATACATTTTTTCCCATTGTTTTCTTGTTGATTCTTCTTTAGAAATACTTTGAATCCATAGTGGTGCTATTCCCCATGGTTTAAATGGAGTATTAGTTTTTGATCGTTTTGAACCACCAAGAGTATATACTGTTGTCAGTGTACGTGCAGTAGATGGTGGCGCAACTGATTGAGTGCGATTTCTAAATTTAATAAAATAAAAATTTCAAATAAGACAATCCTGAAGTCATTTTACTGTTTTCTCAGTAGGTTCGCCATAAGCATACTGTAGTCACGTACTGTTAATCTAATTGCTGTCAACGTAGTTCTAACGCAGTTGTTTTGTGTATGTGTTAATCAAAGAGTTTTCATATGCTTTCAATCTCTATTTATGACAAGCTTTATTTTAGAAATAAAAACATAGTCATTCTCTTTTGCTTTTATATGCAACCACACTGACAAATAAAATAGTGTTCATTGAGTTTTTCTACGTCAAACAATAATGTCGTGAGAGAATAAAGTGTAATTAAAGGAAATGAGAGAAAAAAAAGAACAAGTGAAAAAATCTACCGAATGTTTCTTATTAATGACTTGTTCACTAAGGTGATTCTGACTGATTGACAGAAATATTTCATGAATGAAAAACCCTCATTTAAAATCGACTAACTACATCGACTGATTAACAAATATGAATCTTCAATTTACTAGTGAATTTTGGACATCGTTCATAACAGATATTTTTTTTCTATAATTGTTTTGTTCAGAAAGTAATTTAAGTCAAAATATGAATGAACATTGCCTAGTAATTTGGAATTATTTTAAAATTAATAAGTCACGTTAATAGATCTTATTTTTTATACAACAATAGATAACATACTCATTTAATCTATTTCATTAATAGTCATTATACTAGTGATAAACTGCATGTTTTGTTTTCGGTGCCAATCATGATCAACAATAATTTGTAATGATCCTGATTTCAGTCCTACTCAAACAAAAAAGTTGATTCCTATCGCAAACCTGTTGTGACAAAAATCAAATTCATGTTTTCCATATCTAAATTATACTTATATTCATCAAGTTTTTTTTTTATTTTGTGATAAATTATTACGAAAACTTATGTCTTAATTTCATATGATACTTCGATAAAAAGATTTCCGAACCCATAAAACCAGTGCTATTCACTGTGTATTCGACACTTTTCTAGTCATCGCAACGCATATTTAGTCATCTGCTACAACCACCGAATTCCTAACACTATTTTTATAGTTTTTTCATTACATTAAACAATCGCTTGAATGTTCCTATGCTATCGTGTTTAGTAATAATTGTTTTACTCAAAAAAATAATTTTCTCGTGAATACAGGTGACTGGTTTTTTAGGTACGCACAGTTTTTGGAAATCAACATTTAATAATGTGAATTCTTAATTTTCTTCTTGAACCATGGTCACTATTTCATTCTCTGTGGAAAAACGATTCGTCAATGTTTAATATCATACAGACTATTAGTGCTTCTTATTATTTTTTTGACTTGTAAATGACTGAAATCTAACAATTTTATACTTTGATTGGTATCGACATTATTTAGACTGTTAAGATTGGAGAACATCCATCCATTGCTATTTAATTAATAATCAAACTAAGTGCGGTTCAAAGAGTTTATTTATTATGACAAGATCAATGTTTCTTGAAATTCTTGTTTGCTATCCAGGAAGAAAAATCTCAATGCGCAGTATGACTGCCGTAGTTTTTTTCACATCAAATTACAGCTATACTCCCTTTTGTATCATAAACACTAGTCAGATTCTCCAAGTTCTTGCTGATGGTCGGTATATGAGTGATTTTGGCGTCATCCAACAACATATCTTATTCAACTAATATCGTCTCAACAAAGATCAACATTGAAATCCTGTGAATAAGATAGAAATTTCTAGAACATGATATTTTTTACGAGTAACATTGATTATGAAGTCCAGATCATTTTTTTTTAAATAGAAAACTGATCTTTGTCATTTCTCTACATTTTTAATAATATTGAGCAAACACAGGATCTAGAGTTTTTTTTAACGCGTAGTTCTCAAGCAGCTCATTAAAAAAAAATAATTTGAACGGATTTACTCTCCATAGAATGTTCTATAATTTATAATTGATAAAATAAATGAATTTAATAAAAAAATTTGAAGATGCGAAAAATAGAGCGCTAGCAAAAACATGAGTAAGATTGTTTCGATCCTTCAACCTTTCTATTTAGAACGGTACCTTTTACCATTAGGTTCAACGTGTGCGTAATACCATATCGCTACCCATCATGTGCTTCGAATAGATATACAAATGACAATTATGCACTAGATAAGCTATGAATTTAACGTAATTGTATATCGAGAACCATTTTTATGGTTTTCAACACTATAATAGAAAAATTTCTATCTATGTAACACAATTGCATGAATGAAAATAGTGTATTTTCTATCCTCATGAATTCTCTTAATAAATCATATCAGTATTCTTATTATTAACTAAACAGGTTTATCAATATTACATTTCAATTAAGTAATAAGGATATTCTAGATATCATGAAACAAAAAACTTCTTGATATATTTCTATTTGGTAGCATTTTCTATTAAATAATTCGATCAAATAACATACAAAAATGATCATCGAATCTAGAATATTTTACTTCACATGGCCGTATCTTTTTCTAATTATTGAATGAATAAGTTCACCAAACCATAACTTTTTCAATGTATATTCCTAAGAAACAACGAACACTTTGTTTTTTTCAAATTTGACCGAATGTCGATTTCTATTAGAAGTTTTCGTTTCCTTTTTCTTACCCAATAACATTTACGATTTACCCTTTCGGCTTTCATATCTCATGCTATCGTCACATGATAGCAACGGTTATTCATTTTATTATATTTTTTTCCAATGATGTAATGTGAATAGGAACAATCTCATTACATACTATTAATTCTACTGATATCATCAATTCTATTTTGCGTTATCTTTTCTTATTTTCACAACCGTCTGCCATAAAAACTCATGATTGGTAAACTTTTGACTCGTATATAAGATAGATGTCACTAAACGTTTTTTCTCAACTAAATGATTTTCTTAATAAAACGCTTATTTACGATTGAATTAAAATAAAAATAAAATCTTGTTTTGAAAATTGTTTCTATCATTATTGTTACGTATATTCGATTGGACCATATAGATAGTCACAATGATCAAGTGACTCATTAACTTTACGATTCTCCTTGATCTTACCCCCTTCACGCCTCTTCCGAAAACAAAATATTATTTTTTGTCTTCATTACATCTTGTATTTATGTAATTATTGTTCATACCATATACTAAGAACAAAGTTTAATGTTCTTTTTAATTTCTGTTATTATTGCTGTATTAAGACAAGTTCAGTGTACGTTTCAATAAAATTATGTTGATGTTTATATGACAAGAAAATGAATTAGTTGAGTAATGTAAATACTATAGGCAGAAAGGACGAACACGAAAAAACAAGACATTTTATTATTATTTGATGAGTCGCTTTGCCCAGACGTGAATCATTCTTATCATACGATCAGGTGATATGTGAAGGTTTGATTCAGATTACTATTGTTATTATTAAATTTGCTTTCTAGATGTCCATCTACATTTATTGACAAGCAACTTTTTAATATTGAAAAGAAAATAGAAACAAAAAGTAATGGTTATCGGACTTCCATCGCCACCGACTATTATCGAAGAAGATATGCATGTATGCGAAGTACCCATAGTGAATAGTCATATGTTAAATGAATCAAGTCCAGCATCATTTTGTAATACAATACTGCCGTTAGAATCATTGCCAACAATATCAGCCGAATTACCTATTGATAAATTAAATAAATATTCGTTTAATCTAGAGGAACTGCCGTTTGATTGCTTAACTGGTGAAGAATATCGTGGTCATGGAGCTGATTTAACGGAAGGAATTATTTATTTAACAACATATCGTTTATTTATATTTACAAATGAATCATGTTATTCGTTTATAAATTGTCCAGTACGTTTAATTGATTCAATGGAAATCAAAGATAATATTTATCTATATATACAATGTAAAGATATGCGTTCATTTCGTTTAATATTTTTTACAACAGAAAAATGTTCTTATTGGTTAAATGAATTAAATAAATTAATATCAGTACCATTATGTCTAGATAATTTATTTGCATTTAAATTTGCTTTATCTAAAACAAATCAAGAACGTTCGTTAAGAGATCGTTTTAATGATGAATTTACGCGTTTACAATTGGATTCATATCCATGGCGTCTAACAGAAATTAATCGAAAATATGAATTATGTACTAGTTATCCAGAATTTTGCATTGTACCATCGACTATAACGGATGACGAACTTTTTGAAGTTGCAAAATTCAGATCATATAGAAGATTTCCAACAATTGTTTGGAGGTAAACTATAATTATGAAATATTTCATTGAAACTATTTCTACTACAATTTTTATACAGATATCTACCATATATAGAACAGTTTCTTGTAAAAATTTCACAAAATTTTGTTAAGTTGTTCCTAGAAAAAAATTTACGAACAGCAGTTTTAGTCTTCTATGTGACCAAGGTAAAAGATGCGCTTTCGATTAAAGTTATATTTTTAGATGGAAACAAAGAAAATATGAGTAACTTACATCACGATAACATACTATTTTTTAGGGATTGCTTCTCTGAAGAATATCAAGTGAATAGTCAAAAATTTTATTTTATTAATGTTACTATACAATATCACCACATTAGTTAAAGAAGTGTTATTGCTTGCCTAAGGGTTTTCAACATTTTTGAAAGTATTCCTCATTGATTAGAGTCTACGTGACGCGCATGTTTCTAAATCAACAGCAATTTATTATCCGTTTCGTATACCTTTCTCAGAAATTCAGTGATGTATCTAATTATATGAAAGTGGCTATGACATTTATTATATTAGCTCTCTATTTGACATTTGACAGCAAAAAAAATCCTGAATCTTCAATTATATCTCATCTATATTTTTAACTTGGAAAGCTTCTTGTTTCAAAATCTTAAAATTGCGACAACTTTTGAATGAGATATAGTGATTGTAACTAATTTTTCGAGAAAAAAGTGAACCAAGATGAAATTTGACAGACCAATTCTCATAATTGACTTTTGTAAATCATGCGGCATGTATTTGGTTAAGTGGAGAGGAATCGTTCCATAAAGTCTATACCGTAGCTGCAATCAAACAGAAATCAGGAAAAAAAGTATTACTAATTTTTTTCCATATTCTATTCTTGTTCGTATTAAACTATAACAAAGAGAACAATTCTTCATATTCATATCTTCAGAAAATAATATGTAATACACTTTGTATAGTTTTTCAATGGTGATAATTAGAATGAATTATATGTTATTTGTTGATTAGAAGTTACTTCTATTTTTTTTTATTAGACATAATAATGGTGCGGTTATTGCACGTACAAGTCAACCTGAAGTTGGTTGGCTATTTTGGCGTTCCAAAGAGGATGAAAAAATGGTTCAAGCCATTATCAATGCATGCAATACGACAACATCTGATTGTCCTCCTCGTAAATAACTATTTTACAAGATAAATTTAAATGATTTTAATTTTTCTTTATTTCATATCTTAAAAGGTGAAAGTGGTGCAAATCGTTTATTAATTCTTGATGCACGAAGTTATACTGCAGCCATTGCAAATCGTGCTAAGGGTGGTGGCTTTGAATATCCGCCATACTATACTGATTGCGATGTACAATTTATGAATTTACCAAATATTCATGCTATTCGTAAAAGTGCTCTAATGTTACGTGCTGCTATCACGAATGCAGCAGCAGGTGAAAAGTAAGTTTAATCATGAAATTGTTTTCTTTCAGAGAAAAATCTAATGTCTTGTTTTAGTTGGCTTTCCCAATTAGAATCTAGTCGATGGTTACATAATTTATCAGCATTAATTGGTGCTGCATCATTTGTTGTTGCTAATATTAATAAACATGGTCGACCAGTTCTCGTTCATTGTTCGGATGGTTGGGATCGGACACCACAAATAACAACATTAGCTGAGATAATGCTCGATTCATATTATCGAACAATAGACGGCTTTCAAACCTTAGTACAACGTGAATGGATTGCATTTGGACATAAATTTGGTGATCGTTGTGGTCATGGTGTTGGCGCTAATGATCCGAACGAACGAAGTCCTGTATTTTTGCAATGGCTTGATTGTGTTTATCAATTATTTATTCAATATCCGATTGGATTTGAATTCAATGAAATGTTTCTTGTAAGTTAAAAATAGAATTTAAATGGTAGAAATATAGTTTTTTTTCTATGTTATTCATTGTAGCTTAAATTAGCACTTCATACATATACTTGTTTGTATGGAACATTCTTATGTAATACAAATCGTGAACGAATAGACGTCGAATTAGAAACACGATCATTAAGTATTTGGGGTTTGTTAAATATAAAATCTACGCAATTTACCAATCATTTATTTGATGAAAAAAGCAAAGAAGTAAGAGCAAAAACAAAATTTTCAATGAATTAGAGATTAACTGCGCATGTTACTAGTTTTCCAGGTGTAAAATTTAAGTTTTCTCAGGTTGATTTAAATTAAGCGATAAAATAACTAGTATTATAGTCGCTTAATATAATATGAGAGTATGTTGATTGTCTAGGGCTTTTATTGGCCCGAATATGATTCATAATAATCAATCGCGCTATATCCTTCTGTAGGCGTGTTCGTGATTCTTACCACATTGCATGAATAGTACCAATCAATCATTGATAAGCTATTACTATTCTTGTACAAAACACTTCGAATGAGGTACAAAATGTTATGCATTTTTTCAAATGCTTGAAAAAATAAAGAATAATAATATCATGAAAAAAACGAAGTCAATGTAATTCGAGTTAACTATTTTTTTGTATTTTATCTATTCCAATTAATAAATTCAAAACATCATATATTCACAATACACTAGTAAACACCTTCGTGTACTAGATTTATATTATTCGTTAGGGACCATGAGTGAAACTTCAGGTCGACACCTAGTGACATTCCTAAACACTAGTCCTGTCTACATATTGAAAAAAATAAAAGAATTCATATTTTTCAAGGTACTTTATCCAACGTATTCAGTTCGTGATCTACGTATATGGTCAAATTTATATTTGCGTGATGTACGATTTACACCCGCTGGTTCATCAGAACATCGTTCATCGTCATGCGCGGCACCTGGTCGTCCACATTCTTATGAAGATTTACCATCATTAACCAGTGGTTTATGTCGGTCTACATCGGACCCAAATTTAAGTGGCGAATTAAGTCTTGAATCATCATTGATAACAGTACGTACTGCTAATACGAATATAAATAATAGCTCATTTACAAATGGCAGTGCACAACTTCAGTCCAATCGTTTACAAAATTCAACATCATCAAATAGTTTATTTGGTCCGCCGCATCATCTTGGTACACTTAATGATAGTAATCATGATATGATAAATATTCCTGCTAATACTACATTAATTTCAGCATCTGCAAATAAAATAAATACTACTCCACCGCCAACAGTAACCGTACCGAATAATAGTTGTTATGACAGTCCAGATAATCGAATAAAAAAATACAGTTATACCACTGATGATTCTGCACCTGATATAACACAATTAGCATTGGCATGTCGACAATTTCCATTGAATGTTACTAGTGTTGATAATATATTACGAGCTATGTCACGCCCACGAAAACATACAAATTCGGCATCAAGTACTCGTTCAAGTATATCAGAATATTCATTAACAAAGCTCAATTCAAATGATTCCAATCAGACACAACAAATGGTTTGTTTGTTTGTTTTATTTCAAAGAAAAAACGTTTCTTTCTTTTTTTTTATCAGATGTTACCAACATCATTCTCATCATCAAATAAAAGAACAAAATCTATTCGAAAACGTATTGATGATGATGGTTTAACAAAAGTTCCCGATCAAATTACTTCAAGAATGTTTGAAAAAGAGCGTGAATATGTACAAGAAATTGAAAGTCTTAATGATCAAATAGGACGCATGTTAAAATTTGTACACACACTGATTAAATTAAATAATAATAACAATAACAATAACAATCTTTATGTAAGAAAAATTTCTTCTTATATCCATTGTCAATTCTTTTATTTTTTTAATTTCATTTAGAATACATCTCCACGTATGGATGTAATATCACAAAGTAACGCAAATAGTATTGAAACATCATCATTCGCGTCATGGCAAAAAATTGAGAACACAGAAGGAGCTGTGGCACGTTGGATACCAGATTTTAATGTTCATACATGTCAGTTATGTCATATAAAATTTCAACAATGGCCGCTATCACGTAAACACCATTGTCGAAGTATGTTTGTTTGAAATAAGTATAACGCTAATTTAATAAATTGATTGCTCTCGATTGAAGATTTACAAACTATTGCTTCTGAGTAAATTATACATAGTATTTAATAAATTCACCAATAGAGTACTAAGAAAGATAGTAGTTATTTATAATAATATTTTGCTTGATATTCAAAATTCATTGTTTGGTCTAATCTAGATAATGTTGAACGAAAAGAAAAAAATCAATATCAATGCAAAATATTACAAAAAGTATCGTGCCGTGAGTTGTAGAAAATACTTATTGGCTTCTGTGTAGGATCCTAAACAGAGACTAACTCCAGGAATTGGACGTACTCACTGAGTAGTAATCAATTCATTGTCGTATGTAATATTGAAATTGCTCCAAATGACTAACTATGGTATCTGGGCACGTAAATAGGTTTTAGATTCTGAAAGTTTTACCTATTTATTTTGTCGAATTATTTTCATTCCATAATATCATGGAATCAAGATACTAGTTTAAAAAGTAATGAAAATACTTGCAGGTACCAACATCTGTTCGAGTCTTGCATTTTTTTATATCTCTATTTACTAAATATGATAATTATTTCATGTATTTTACATTCCAATCTAATTTCTGCTATTCTAACTTTTTTTTTAGAGTGTGGAAATATATTTTGTGGTACTTGTGCTAAGTATTATGCATCAATTCCATCTATGAACTTAACGGATCCTGTACGTGTATGTCGTGATTGCTTTTCAGCATTAGATGATACTAATAAGCCTACAGCTGCGGAATCACCAACAAAAATTGAAACTCCTATTTCCATACAAAATGGTTGTCGACAAACGAATGGAACACAAAATGGATCATTCAATGCAGGAGGAGGACAAAAAGTGAAAGGATAAACTAAATTTGTTTGTAAATTTGCTTATTTCTGTTTCTATAAATCCATTTTTTCGCCCGCGTGACTTGCTTTTTCGAAGTACACAATCTCTCTCTCTCTCTCTCGTATGCTTTATATGCATATTTTGTTCTATACGAGAAAAGGAAATTATGTCTATTAGACTAGAATTATGATACGGCCGCTTGTCGTCTTCATAAGTTCAATTTCTTCTTTTTTCTACTAGATAGTGTCTATCTCTGCCACGTGTAACGTGTCGTTGCATTTTATTTTATTTTCTTTGTTCCCACAGTGGCTTCGTGTTTACTTTTTATTCATGGTATTGTTTGTTCGTTTCCTTCTTCTGGCTATGTATATACGGATCTAAAAAATACTTTTGAGTATACATGTTTTATTTTCTGTGATGATAAGAACAACAGCAAATTCGCGTTTTTTCTCTATTGCGATTCAAAAATATATCTAGATCAGCATGCACATATTTTATGTTCCTCGATGATTGATTGTTCACAGATGTATACAACTTTTTTTGTCTTTATAAAAAGCTGGCGTTCGTGTATGACCTATTTTTTTGTCTATTTCTCGTTGAGTACACGCACACATACTTTACTCCATTGTAATTCGCTTATTATCTTGAGCTATGCGTTTTTTTTGCACATCATTTAGACAAAGAAAAAGCGGGAGAGAGCACGAGACTCAATAATAATCGATGGACACCGATGTGATTCACCGCTTCGAAAAAAGCATATAGAAACGAAAACTAAATAATTCAATGCTTCTATTACATTCTCTTGTGTTTGAAATAACGACAGTTGAAGTCTCATTAATGTTATACAATGAAAAATCAATAAGAGCTGTCAATCAATAGATAATTTTAAGAGCTTCGTAAGAATATCAAAAGTTTTTATTACAGTTTTCACACATAAAACTCACTGGTGACTATACGCTTTTTTATGGAGTTTTTTATCGAAGAATAATCGTATCTCTGGTGAATACAGATATCTCTATACTCCAACAAGCATGCCTTATTAGTTTAAAACAACACTATTTTCAGCTAGATCCTTTTCTCTTTCAGTCAATAGAGTAGCACCATACACCAAATGAACAATAGACGGAATCTAGCATGACTCCTTCATTATTATCTGATGATTACACTATATGTGATACTATTTCAGTCTATTCATCAGTCTCTTTTAAAAACTAGCTACATTTCTTTCCTCAAGCAAAAGCTGCTCGAAAGTTTACTATTGTATTATGTTCAACTCAGTTGTTTAATTCAAAGTCATAACTTATTCAGTACATAATGGAACATGTTTAATTCAATCAAGCAAGTATCAATAGAGAGAGAGACCATGGACCATGATCTATAATATGCTTTTTTTTGCATGAAATAAATAAAGTAGTTATGTTGAAAAGTAAATAGAGAGGTTCTCTTGAAAAACAAATGTGTAATGTTTTGCAAGTGAGCATATCAACTGGTATTCGTAATGTATACATTTATTTTTAGTTAAAGATACCAGCTACTAGAGAACCATCCGGCATTTTCTTACGTTGCTAAACTATAATGCATGAACAGTGTGACATTAATTTGAAGTAAGAGTGAGAAGTTTAGTTTAATGAGTCATTTAAGGAAAGCAATATGACATGACCTCATTGCCAATTTTTGATGAAGCCCTATTAAAAATAATAGAATGTTGAACTCTTTATCAAGAGTTTAAAAACATTTTCAAATTTTATTTCATCTGTCTTCTCACTCCCATAAAACGAAACTACCATTAGGGAACAAAACGATAAGTATTCATTCGATAATAACTCTTGATCATTAATAGATACTAGATTATTTTATCAGATATGCCTACTCGAATAAGTATGAATTATTACTCTTGATATTGAAATAAAGTATCATATACTTGATCTTTGCTTTTTACTAGATGTTGAATAATTAAGTATTGTTCAACTGTATACTAAAATGCTACTAACGAAAAGTAACACACAAGAAAGATATGTGAGACTCATTAAAACTAATAAATTATCTTCGTGAGATGTCTATGATTTAACTAATATTGCAGAAGGCGCTTGAATTTGAAAAAGACAAAAATTTTCATTATATAAAATGTTAAGATATGAGTTTTACCACAGTATTAAAGGGTTTCCAAAGAATAGGTAAAGCAGCACTGAAGAAACAATTGCTTGATTATAATTCGTAAGTGAAAACAATGAACAAAATAAAAAATTTTAAACTTATGTGAAGATTTAGCTTTGCACTAGGGTCATAAGGGCACGTATAGATATTCTATATGAACGTATATTAAATTTAGAAACTACTTTATAAATGAATAATCAAATACCGTATTGCATTCATCCTATCATAAATGATAATATATCGAGCAATGAAACGAATATAGTGATTAAGCAGGAGCAAATTGCAAAAGAATTCATTCCCAATTCAATTACTACTTCATTTGAACAACCGAAACATAGGTCTTTCATGGCTGATCAATATTCATTGATTTCAAACTTTGAAATACAATTTTACAAACTAAACTTATCGTCAGCTACTGTAGTCGACCAAACAACAATCGAACGTAATGGTACATCCAATATTTCTCATCATGCAGGCTTGTAAAATTACTTAACTAAACTGATTTTAAGGTAAAAAATCTAATAAAATTTGGTCTATAAACTGAAAATTAGATTGGATTTGGCAAGAAAATAATAATGGCTGTTTTCAATTAGAAAATTTTTTCATAGAATACAAATGAATTTTGCACGGACTCTTTGGTGTGCTCGAGTCGAGTCAAAACAGTTTTAGATATTTGATTTTTCTTTTCTCCTTTATGATACGTTTCAAGATGCCTGCTACATATCGAAGTAACAGTTTTTGCTGCATTGACATTTATTCGTTAAAAAAGACAACTCATTATTATTTGAGAAGTATGCAACATTTCATCTTATAACACTATTGCTGAAAAACGAAATTTTAATTAAAAAAAAGTTATATAACATCCTCATTTCATTATTCTATTGTACATATTAGAGTCAAACTGTTTTAATTTCAATCAGCAATATTTTTTAAGTGTCTTCTTTCTAAAGTATAATGTACTAACACTATATGTCATGATTGATAGAAAAACAAAAAACAATTGTATTCAATGCAACATGCAATATTGAAGGGTGCTCTAGGAATTTCGATATTTCTATTCGAATAGAAGCAGATCACGAAGATTAAAACAAAAAACCAGCGGATTTCTAATAGTATCTACCAAAGCGATTTACAGTTTTTTCCAGAGTACTATGGCTGTAGTATCTCCTACTTAAAAATGTTCAGAAGTGGCGCATCTGAATGAATTTTTAGTTAAATGATCCTTCTTCATTTGCTCTGAAAATTTCAATTTTTCCGATAACCTTCGCAACAGATCATTCAAAATGGATTCATCAGATTTCTAAAAATGAATTTTACTCCACAGCTGATAACTAGTATTTGTCACGTGCAAATTTTTTCAGTAATTTTACACTCGAAAACACTATCAATTATCGATGAGTAGATTTTGTTTTATTGTCTAAAAGATTCTTTTACTCATTTTATTTATTTTTCTTTAAAATAACACTTTAGATAACTCAAAACATTTATCATCTTCATTATTGAAATTCAAAAGTCTAACGCCAATGAATGTAAGACTAAATCAAGTGAAAACAAATGCATGCGAATTCGCAGCTATTTTCGAGAATGCATTTGATCAATTTAATATTATCTACCAATCGTTATCTATAAATGATTTCAATAAAAATAGTAATCACTATGAAATAGCTGATATAAATTTGAATAATATCAATCCATATTCTTCCATATCTCAAAATTCTAATTGTAGACCATTTACAATGCATGAACAGGATAAACTTCGTTATGAACTTGAATATTTCTTTCATATTTTTACATTATTGTTTCGTGCTACAGTTCTTGGTTCTCCAACAGAGTTTTTAACATCTATCAATAGTATAAATAATAATCTTCTTTCAATACAATTAATTGAATTAAATAATCGTTACAAAAAATCTCAAGATAAAATTAATAAATTATCTAACATGAAAAGTTATTTTCATACTGAAAAATCTCAAGAATTGAACGCACTGATATCAATGAAATCTCAATTAAAAGATCGATTGATGGAGGAAAACTATCGTTCGAAAGTTTTATCATGTTATTGTAATGATTGGAAAAGATATCATATTTCACAGTGGATAGAAATGCTACATGAGATTGAACAAAACTATACAAAATCGATGAATGATAATGAAAATATTCTCGAGCAAATTGGCATAGCTCATAAAGAGACAATCAAAATTTTAACCAAACAGACGGATGAAATGAAATTAAACGCAAATAAATGCTATGAATATTATCGAAATAAAACAAATGATTTTGTAAAAGAATTAACGAATCTTCGACAGGAACTCTATCACGTAAAAAGACAACGACAGCATTCATGTGAAGAATATCACCGAATGAAAATAATTGTTGATGAATATAATCAATTGAAAATGAATGAAAATTTACTTTTAGAAAAACGAAAGCAACAAAAAGAAGCTATTCAACGTATTCAAACTTGGTGGCGAGGAACAATGGCTCGTCGTGTAAAACGAAAAAGAAGAAAAAAAAGACAAAATGATGTATTGTAAATAATAAATAGTCTATTGTTTCTCGAATGCAAACAGTAGTAGCTATTTTAATCCATGTAAAGTTTAAAACACGAAAATGATGTTTGTAGTAATTTTCTCTTAGTGTAATGCTGAACAATTGTTATTTGATAGAGAAAATCAAGACATCTCGAAATGATTTCATAATCTGATTATAACAATTCTCCAACGACCAAAGAAACATTAACTACTTGATTAGTGCTGAATCTAAAATTACTTAACGCTGAAGACTTGAAAAATATAGAAAGATGTTACGGTGTTTAATTTCTTTGTTAATGCTAGATGAAGTAATCGAACCGATTTTTTTTATAAAAAAAGAAGTCTCTGTTACCGTATAGCATTTATCTGTTTCCAGACTATCAAAATCTTAAATATCGATCCATTTTAGGCTACGCAGTAGTCAATAGACGGGAACGTTTTGATACTATCTACTGAAAATTTGAATTTGCAGGATTTCAATGAGAAAGTATTTAGTAGAAGATTGTTCAATAAGTCTGAAACTTAGAGATTAAAACAACCAATGTTTCGTGATTTTGTTCTGTTGAACGGCTTAGCTTTGAACAGATCTCCTGGAATTTATTTTTATAAATAAAAAATTGCTGTATTCGCCTATCCTCTTTTTTTTTAATTCTTGATAAATTTAAATAAAATCGGAGAGATAAACGAAACAAAAGTTTCAGGAACGAACTTTTCAGACACGCTGTCATACACAATTTTTTTTGAAGCATTCCATATTCAAGAAGATCTGTTTAGGTTGTTTGTTTTTTAAGTTAGAAAAATCTTTTATGAACAATGGCGACCAGTGTTAAAAATTATATCAATACAATTTCAGAATGACCAGATGAGAGAAATTTCATTGGATGAGAGACAAATAATTAACTTAAAAGTAGAAAATTTTACAGTTCTACTATCTAGTTAATATCTGAAAGATAAATACTAATTTTTAGAGAGTAAACGCTAGTTAAACAGAGATTCACACACATCAAAAGATTGATTGAACTACGTCAATTGTTATATATTTCTCACTCATCTCAGTAGGACTATTTTTAATTGAATTCAATATTGATCGAAACTATTCGTACTATATTAACACGATTATTACTATACAGGCAAGAAAATGTAATATGAAAAGGCTCTTTGAATTAAAACTCATTTTTTTCCAAGTGTTCCTATAAAAGAAACTACAATCGATGTAAACTTAAAGTATACAGCAGAGTGGCAAATTTTTTTTAATAATTACATATTGTGGAATAAAATCAGAAAATATTATTCCAGCTTTTGAAGAGATTTTCTAGCTAAGTGAGTAAGAATCACGCTATTTAGAATTCATTACAACATGAATATTTCTATTAAATTGAGTTTTTGACAAGGATTATTAAAGCTAGAAGGACTATTGTGACCTAATTTTGCACTTTTTCAGATTCATATAAACCAGCAGATTTATCGGCGCATAGCTTGTATAAAGTATCACTGTACAAAGAGAGTGATAGTTCTTCATACTAGTATTCATGTTGAAGTTGTTTCATTTGATCATCACATTTGAATATTCTATTGTGAGCATCTCGTAAACTAATAACTATTAAAACTTGGTTAAATTTTGAATAATTGCAAAATAAAATTATCAATGTACAATACAATTCAATTCTTTTATTTTTTGTAAAGAAAAACAAAATCTCGTAAATATGCTTGTGTGCATATGTTTTATGTCAGAAAAATTTCGTTTTTTGAGTCAGTATTTCAAAAATGATGTTATGCTACTGGTTGAAGTTACTTTGTCCATGAGAAAAACACATAGCTTTATTTTTCGAAGAACATCGTTAGAAATACTCAAAAATTTTGACAAAAATAAAATTCTTTGGTAAGTATGACCGTGCCTGATTTTCTCGTTATATCATATAGTACAATAGTTAGCCAGGAAGAACAAATCAATAATACGAATTGAGAACAAATTAAAAGCGCATTTATTTTCTTTCTTTCTCTATTTAATGAAGTAGAAATTAGAGACTAAAACAGAAAAAGAAAACCATTATAAAACGATCAAATCAGTACATTAACTGCTTTCTACTTAAAAATCCTTTCAATCGTTTTAGCACCAACGTTTTTGAGCAAAGAATGATAAAACATGTAAATCGTGAATAGTAGATGTTGCTTACATAGCGTTACTTCATAGTGCACCTGCTTGACAAATATTTATTATCTAGTAGCTTCTGTCTTATAGAATGATTGACTCTTATAGTCTTTCGAGGAAAATTAGATGAATATTTTAATATTTCTTTTAACGATTGATCAGCACTGATCCGACAATAACCGGGTACCGGATACGTATTGAACCACATCTCTGAGTTATCCAAAGTTTTTATAAACACTCAACCAACATTAGGAAACATTTTTACTTTCTGTGAGAAAAATTTCTCTTGTCAAAAACAAAACGCATTACTACAATAACTCACCGATATAAAATCCTCGGGTTAGTTTTGTGTTTGATTTAATTATTTCAATGATATTTTTTGTATCAGATATTAAATCCAGAAATATTTAATGGCTGAATCGAGATCTATCTACGTTGACAATTAAAGGTTAATAATGATTTGAAAGCTTTGGGTTTTCTTTTGAAACAATGTTTTGTTATAAATCAAATTAAAATAGAACAATATATATTTTTAAAGATAAATTTTCACACGTTGATTATTAATCGCTTATTTTTGTTATATATGATCAATATAGTCTTTCAATCAGTAAAAATAATTTTACAAGCTATCGATCAAAGTTTACAATAGTTCCATGATAGCAATTAAAAATATATAGATTTTCAAAAATATAAAAATTGAATCTTTTCTCATTCTAAAACATAGGTATTTATACTTCATTGAATTTTTTTAATTATTTAAACGAAAAACTTAAAAACATACTTCCTACTTGTAGAAATAATTATTTTCTATAAGTGAAAACCAAATAAATCTTTTCTGAAATAATTATTTCTTTTTGTTTGAGTTTCCTGAATATAAATCAAAGTTTCATATTTCTAACTGAATCTTCGATTGATATAATAATCTATCTTTAGAACTTTATTTAGTTTTTACCAGTTTTTATCGAAGTATTCATGACTGAAACAGTAGTGTCTATTCTTTAATTTTTCTAAATGCGTTAACCCTTCAAGGTCTATGATCAATCTATTATTAATTGTTTCGTGTGTGCTTGCTATTTTTTAAGTAGGAAAGAGAACTATGTAATCATTCATTTGTCTGTAACTTCTTTCCTCTTAATTGATAGCATATCCACGATCTGAAGTACACACTCTATGTTGATTCCAATTGTTTCTAGTGGCGAATGTATTTGTCCGTGATGAAAATACAAAAAAAAGGAATCTATCCTTTTGTCGTAATACACTTATCATAACACGGCATATGTCATAGAAATTAGTTTTCTATTTATATGTGATAAAAAGCGCTTTCATAATAATTAGTATTTAAATATCATGTCTCACTTTGAGAGATTGGATCGCAATATTATAGACACAGGAGATAAGCTTCAACTGATTCAATATAGAAATAAGGATTCTTATCAAGTAAGTTAGAACAGAAAAATTGTATCGTCGCTTATAATGATTGATTCATATATTACAGATAAATGTAACTAATATTATATTCGAAAGAAAATTTTACGCTCATCTAACATCCAGTCATTAATCGACTCTATAATATAAAACTGATTATCATTCTGTCCAAATGTGTACACATATTCTTACATCAATTCTGTAAACGATATGAATTTTCAATACATGAAATAAATTGCATCCGAAAAATAACTAAATTTAGTCTGCTATCAAATATTGACTTACAGATATTTTAGGGAAAAAATAATAATTTGCCGAACTGTAGAAAATTCTTTTTCTAAAGAGTTAAGTTTTCATATTCTAACAAATTACTTTTGACGAATTATTTTTTGTAATAATTTTCTCGCCATTCAAAAAAAGACAGATTTATGAGGGTGCCAATGGTTTTTGCCTTAGATATTGATGATATAATGACTGATTATTTTCATTTTTAAATAATTACTATAGATTTGCATGATATTTTCAAAGTAAACTCGTGAGATCTATTGAAATTGTGAAGTCTTGAACAATGATTTCCTTGAGGACACTATTCATAGTATCAATAAATTAAAACAAATGAATTTTATCGAGTATGCAAGGAGTGATATTTGACAACACGTCCTGAGCGACACAAAAAAAGGGTTACTGATATCTATATTAATCATAATGTAAAAAGATAACACGTAATGAAATAGACGAAACTGATATACTCGAAACTCGCAGAGATGTAATACTTTTAGCACATTGTCTCTTTCTATTTAATAGAATCCTCTTAAAGCTATTGTTCACTATGACATAGTATAATCTCCTTTACATTAGTTTATAGTTTTAAAACAGTCATATGGTTTTATTGAAAAACAAATTTCAAAAATGTTGATATTAATGTTATAATAAATTCTATTTTGTATGCATTCTCACTGTTATTTCTTTCAAAATTGAATCATTCGAATTTTAAATCACAGTATAATACTATAGTTATTCTCGACTATTATTTGAAGAATAAAATAATTCAAGTAGATATTATATATTCATACAGAACTGCTTGTGCAACAAAATGTTCAGGTTTTTTTTGCCAGCAACTCTATATGATGAACAGATTGGCAATAAGTCTTCTTATTAATCAGTAAATTATTATTACTATGAATTATTTGCAGTAGTGTCAAACTTGAAACTTGAATTCAACTGAAACTTCAAGTTTCAAGTTTCAGGTTTGACGTTATTGCTCTGACACTACTGCTTCCCCGGCACCCACATTAAGGGTACATATGTGTGTGTAGACAAGCGAATCTCCCTTCCCCGGCACCCACACCCTTGAAACTTGAAACTTGAAACTTGAAGTTTCAGTTGAATTCAAGTTTCAAGTTCGACATGTATGATTATTTGAGTATGTCAACGTCGATGATGCACTACGTTCATATATAGACCATGACGTCAACAATAAAGCTAACTTGTAACGCCATCCTCAAGTCTTTTTTCTACGCAAAATATAATCATTTGTTGTTTTTATTTTACAAAAACAAGATCATGAATCATATTTTGCCTTCAGAAAAAAAATATATCTCGAAGAAGTGCATTGCACTGTATCACATGTCGGCATTATGGTACTTATCATCATCACTATTTTACTTAACCGTTTTCTAGTTTTTGTCTATATTGACACAAAGGCTATGTTTGGCAGGAGAAATAGAGAAAGAGTCAGAGAGAACACTATCGACAAACATAGCATAAAGAGAAACGGCAAGCAAGTGTCAGACTTTCTTGCCTTCTATCACCGTTACTGTATGTAGGAGTCGCCAACTATGATAGTGCAGACTGTAGGAAAAAACGCAGATAATTTTTCTTAATGAAATAAGACAACGTCGGTAAGTTATCGCGGAATTTATTTAACAAAGAGAATTCCTTTTGTAATAAACTATTTTTTTACAAGAAAAAAGAAGGAAAAGCAAATTATAGATGACTCTGAATAGACAACGAGAACGACATATAATAATAATGGTACATATTGATTCTTATTAGTGACTGCAATAGATGGAAAAAGTCGGTAAAAATACGAGAGTGATACGATGTTGGTTGGTTAGTGATCGATGATCGCGTGATCTTTACTTATATTCTAAGAAGAAAAATGGCTGATGACGTTTTCTTTTGTCACGCTGTTTTAATAATAAGTTAGCTCGTTACATTCTTGAATTCACCAAGAATAGAAATATAACAAAAATCCTTCTAAAATCAGTGAATACTTAAGTTTGTATTAAATTATATAGTATATATGATTCAGTTTTCCATGAGCAAACAGTAGGTTAAATTGCCTATATTTTTATGGATCGGTTGATTTTGTTTTTTTTCTATTATATCTACTAGAGATATTATTCGATAGAGTAATGTTCATCTTGCACAAAGCAAGAGAAAAAAAAGAGAAGAGTAATAACTTAATAAAGTGTGATAGTGTCGAATGTTGTTTTCATTTTATTTTTGTCTTCTTTTTCATTCATTCATTCATTCATTGAATCTATATAGTGAATTTAGTCGGTAGGATAAAATTGTCGACAACGATTAAGACTATGAATCCGAAAATCAGAGAAGCGTTTTAATGCTTCTTATTCAAAATTTTCTCGTTTTCTTCCATTAGCGAATATTTTCTTTCTAATGATTCTCAGTTGAATTCAAGAAATAAAAATTTTTCTTGTGTTTCATTTCAGATTTCTGATAATTATTAATATTAAACTTCTTTATTTCCTACTATGATTGCTGTTAATTATTAATTAATTCAAGTTTAAGTAAGCTATAGCTGGTTAAGAAAAAGGTTGATACTTTTTATTAGGAAAATATTGTTATGATTATTTTTGAATCAATTTCAAACAGTAATAATGGTTATTATTAATTTTATATCCATTCAAATAAACAACTTATTGATATCGATATGTTCACAAATAGAGTTTTGTTTTCTTATTAAAATATTGTCGTAGGTTTTTGTGGTCTATTGCATATGTACGTATATACACGTATAAGTTCTTCACGTTGTTTCTATCATACATGCTCAGTTTTATAGATGATAAAAAGAATGGCTAATGGCTCTCGGCTTATTACATACATAAGAGTAGTAACAGCAACAACACTAATAGTAATAAATAGCTTTTTTTTCTCTTTCTCTCTATCTCTCTCTCTTTTTTTTCTCTTTTTCTCTGTTTCTGATCGTCATCCCAAGAGAAAGACAATTCCGTAGTAACCAGATTAGATAAATGCTAACAGAACACAACAAATCGATGTATGCGTGCGTCGCTTGCTATGGTGTTTTGATTATTCTCTTTCTTTTTTATCTTCTTTTGTCATAATAATACTAGTAGATTTGATCACTCTCATTCAACAATCGCATATCTATTGAAATATAATGTAATCAAAAATACTAATGAAACTTATTGTTCAATACATAAGTGTCAAACGCGTGTCTTGCTATTCTTTCTGACATCTTTCCAAGACATATGCAGAAAATAAACAATGATACTCAGCAATAGAATTTGTGACATATCTCAAAAATATAGAATAAGAACTCAAATTTTAGAAGAAGTTTTATTCACACACATACAGGTATCTATCGAATAAAATAGGAATATTTTTTGATTCCTTTCTACTTCGAATAATATCAATTAAGAACTACAGATATTGGTAATATAAAAAGTAGGAACCTTTCAATAAATCTAATGTTATCAAATTCTTTTTTTCTTCTTCTTCGAGTAAACTAATTGGAACACGCCATATGGCTGTTTTCTTTTTACTATAGATATCTCTCAATGCTTCTCATCCTTCTTAATTAGACACGAAAAGATATTTATAACCTCAATAATATGAAAACAATTATTACAAAAAAAAATCTAAAATTTGATTATGCACTAATCATTCATATTTTCTATGTACTGAAATAAAATTAAAGTATCGCTTTTTATTCTTCTTAGCCAAGATAATCAGTACTTGCGTTTTGATCTCGGAGTTAGATCTCCTCCTTAATTGTTACAGTCAAGATTTTTCGAGAGACTAGAACGGATGTAGAAGTCAATTTATAATATGCTTGAATGATGAATATCTATATAGTAAATATATTAATATAGATGTATATATTAAGAACTGAGTTTTTCCAGCTGTCAATCAAAGATGATTGATCAATGTATTAATAATATTTTCCTTTTCAGTAGAAAATATTACTAATGAAAATATCAAGTAAACATTTGATATGAACATTGGAATGAAGGAGAATAGGTTTTGCATGTGGAAAAATACCCTAGGGATATACAGTTGTTCTTTGATTTTGCCCTATCTGCATAGTGCATTGTCAGTTTATTGAATATGCATGTATACCAATAGAAATTAGACATAATAGTTTATAAAAGACAAATGACAAGCTAGGTTTTCATCGATTGGACAGTGGTCAAGAAGGAGAAAAAGAAAAAAATTATCATTTTATTTCTACATAGCTACTACACGTATTTGATGATGTTACTCGATTGCAGAAATAGATCTTGAAAAAAAAACAGTTCAAAATGAGAATGAAAGCGAATTGAAAAAAGAATCTATCATTTGGATATTTAAAAAAAATGTACTGTGAGAATAGTCCATCATCGATCGAATAAAAATAGCTGGTGTTGTTGTTTTATTGCAACATTTTTCTTGCATTCAAATATTTTCTGTTTGTCGAGAGATGAAATTGTGGAAGACGAAACATCTGACGACGGCTATCGATCGGCGCCTCTAACTTACCATCATTCTCATCACTATCGTCGTTGCCTTTTGTCGTATTTAGTTTATTTATCTATATATTTTCATCGAACGGCAAACGGCAGAGGAAAAAAGTTTGTTGTTTCCACTGGTATTTTATATTTAGCTCCTATATACATGTTGTATGTGTGTCGACGGCTCGCCGCATTATTTATTGATGTTATAATTGAAACGCACGAGGGACGAGCAAACGACTACGAAGAGAAAAAAAAGAAAACTTAAGCCGAAAATATAGATTGATGGGCAACTAGTTATATTTAATGCACATTATCAATTAGTTTTGTTTTGTCCACTCTTTTCTACAATAATGGATCCCAATAGACATAAACAAGAACAAACAAAACCAGTTCACTATCAACAAAGACTTTCGATTGTTGAAGGCATGGCACGTACAGGTATTTTTTTAATATTGTTGTTCGATTATGAGAAAGAAAATATCATGATTGTAATACAAAATACTGTACGTTACAGAAATATACTTAGTAATAGTTATTATCATATTGAGGTGTGCATAAATTTGCTTTAAGCATTTATGATACAAGATGCTATTGAGTCTTCCACTTAAGCAATGAGAAAGAAAGAAAAGTATTCATTAAAAGCAATAAGAAAAGTTCTGGACTGCAAGTTATATTCACTGTTTATAATACTATTTATATATGACCAATCAGATACATATATATATTGTTTTGTTTATTTTGTAATTAAGGATATGATTGTCTTACAAATGTTTTATCTTTTATGAGCGTTTTCATACTTGTCGATATGCATAAAAATAAGATAAATATAATATAGAACAAGATTTTGTGAGCTTTTTCTGTCAACAAGAATATAAATATGATAAGTGCGTGTTAAAATCTAGTTTATTTTTCTTTCTCATAATTAAAACTAAGTGTCAAAAACGATATGGCAAGTTTAATAAGACTACCGTTATTTTGACATATTTATCAAATAAAAAAGAGTTAATAAATTTATCAAATGACTTTCATAGAGTTATGAGCCAAATTAGCTGTGACTTTAGGCATCATATTGAACGGTAGACTTTTCCCCATAAAAAGTAAGTATTTAATGAGTGAAAGTTATTCAAAAATCTATCTTGCTATTTTTATCTGTGTATTATTCTAGACAAAATCCTAACGTGTTGACATAAAAGGTTTGTCGATTGGAAATATATGCTTTTGTTAACCTTATTAATATTGATGAATTGAAATGAAGATAATAGTTATCGTTTCTATACCCTCCAGTATATAGCTTATTATTATTTTAAAAGATATGTACATGACAGGCTAAAAATAGAAAAACCTTCACCGTTATTGTAAGGTTTTTGATGATGTCACATGAAACATCAATAGCAGAATGTCTATAGTAAAAAGAAAAACGCTGGAAGAGAAAAAAACAGAAAGATAATAGTTATATTCTTGATTCGTTATTATTATTATTATCATTGTTGTTTGGTTTTTCTTGTATAGCGATTTCTGAATAGTAATATCTTGCTTTTCTTCTTCACTTATGTTTATATAGCACCAACTTGTGCCGCTTTCGTCCAAGCAATAAGTCTATTTCGTGAAGCAAATACAACTAGCGACATATCTTTATCAGCAGAACAGAATATGGCAGAAACAAAATCTCTACGAACGGATTCAAACCTTAGTAATATGTCGTTACGAAGATCATCAATTCCGTTTGTTGAAAAACCACAAGGCATTGCACGACGTGGTGCTTTACGACAAAAAAATATTTACACAGTTAAAGATCATGAATTTATTCCAAGATTTTTTAAAACGCCAACATTTTGTTCTCATTGTCGAGATTTTATTTGGTAACTATTCTATCATTTTCATCTCTACTCGTTTGATTTCCATAAAATCATTTTTCATTTAGGGGTTTTGGAAAACAGGGTTTTCAATGCCAAAGTAAGTGATATTTCTCGAACGAATTGGAGAACATATTGCCCAATATGTCTTATGAATCATTTCTTCTTTTTTTGCGAGAATAACTCGTCGCTTCGTACTCTAAGTATAAATTAAACACTCTATTGATTTAGATTGGAAAAGAGTAACCCTATAAATAGAATAAAAACGAGGTTATTCAAACAAAAATTCATATTTTCTGACACATACTTAGTGCTGTGCGACAGAAAAAAAACTGATATGAAAGATCTTTCGAGTTCACAAAAAAATAATTAATCTTAAACAATGGTGAAAAGAATAAAATGAAAATGAAGTAGAATATGATTTATTAGGAGTTGTAAAACATGAAAAGCATTTCTATGATTGATTAACGACATCATTCATATCAACTTTGCCTATCAAATAATTTGAATTATTTTTCTGTTAGTTTTGTTTTTAATCCGCTACCTTCATGTAAGACTTTGTTTTATCATAGAGCATTAGATTGATGTGATTAAAGGTTACAATGTATAGTATGCATCCACATCGAGTTTCTTACAACATAATTATTTGATTCTAAATATATAGAAGATGAAAATTTATATTTACACTTAATATGACACATATTAATTAATATTTATATACTCAACACTGTCTTGTCAAAAATAAAAACATCTCGTTTTATCTTAAACGATATGAACAAAACATACGTTCGTATGTCGTTTCAATCCTTTTAAATTTCTTGATTAGGATACGAAATATTCACGAGAGATAAATAAAAGTTGATATGACATCTTGATTGTTAATGCAAGATTATTATTGTGGCAATCAATTTTACGAAGATTAGTTTCTTTCTTATTCACAATTTACAGGGTTACTCGCAAATATAAGAGAGTAACATGGATGAATTTCATAGATGCAATATGAGACATAGATTCCTAAAAACAAATGAAATACAGTACGTCTCGTATATCGAACGATTTTAAATATTTAATCTTAAGAGTATGATTTTAGAGAGTTGATAATCCTTTATAGTAAAAAATCTGAAAACTGTTTTATCGAGTTTTTCAGAATGTCTACTCTTTACTTTCATTCATGAAATTTCGTTATCGAGTACATCCAATAAAAAAATGTTACCAACTATTCAAACCATTAATTGGATTCATTTTAACTGCGTCATGGTCGTAATTCTACAAGTTCGTTTAATAAGAGCTGATATCAAGTATAGCTTAATGAATTTAATTTTGAAAGATTTTCTAACTAAACAATAAACTATCTTCTTAATATTGTTCGCTTTCAGTAATGGAATTGATTTAGGAACAGTTTCTATCTTTCTAAAAAAATAACTTCAAACAGATCTATTATATATTTTGACTTTTACTGTTTATTTTGCAGTTTGCTCTCTTGTTGTTCACAAGCGTTGCCATGAATTCATTAGTTTTACCTGTCCTGGTGTCGATAAGGGAGCCGATTCTGATGTAAGAACTTTCTACTTGAAATCTTTTGTCATGTTAAAAGTAGTATTCAAAATTAGGCTCCCAAAAATAGTCATAAATTTCAAACACATACATTTACGTCACCAACATTCTGTGATCATTGTGGATCTCTTTTATATGGTCTCATACATCAAGGTCTTAAATGTCAATGCTGTGATATGAATGTTCATGAGAAATGTCGAAAATTTGTACCAGACTTATGCGGACTTGATCATACTGAACGTCGTGGTCGAATACGCTTAATTATTAAATATGAACATGAAAATAAATTACGTATTGAAATTGTTGAAGCTAGAAATTTGATTCCAATGGATCCAAATGGTTTAAGTGATCCTTATGTTAAAATAAAATTAATTCCTACAACACCAGATGCATCAAAAAAACAATATCAAGTTAAATTTAAAACAAAAACTGTTCGTGCTACATTAAATCCACAATGGTTTGAAAAATTTACAATGTAAGCTGGAATAAATATCAAAATAGAAATAGTTTTACTTTTCATTCGATAGTGATTTAAATGACGATGATAAAGATAAACGACTAGTGATTGCTGTTTGGGATTGGGATAGAACATCGAGAAATGATTTTATGGGTTCACTTTCATTTGGTAAGAAAATCGTATGTAGCCGTGGGTTTTTGCACACAATTTTTGTTTTTTGTGGAAAGGTGTCTCGGAACTAATGAAAGAATCAGTTCAAGGTTGGTTTAAATTATTAAGTCAAGAAGAAGGAGATTTTTATGCAGTACCCGTACCTAGTGAAGAGGGTATCAACAGAATTAAACATTCTACTGGAGTATGCTGAAAATTATTTCTTATTTCTATTAATATAAAAATGACTATATATATTTGTTTAGCATCTTATATCAGAACGTTCAACATCTAGCTCAAAGAATGATTCAGGAGTTGATGGTGGTGAAAAATTAATTGGACGTACAATATCTCATGTAGAATCTATTAAAGAAACAGATTTTCATTTTATAAAAGTACTTGGTAAAGGATCATTTGGTAAAGTAAGTTGAAAGAAAACGAAATGACTACTTTTTCTTACAAATGACTCATGTTTCTATTGTTATTTTACAGGTTGTTCTAGCTGAACGTAAAGGAGCACCCGATGAATTCTATGCGATAAAAATATTAAAAAAAGATATTGTTGTGCAAGATGATGATGTTGAATGTGTAATGATTGAAAAACGTGTATTAATGTTACATGATAAACCAAGATTTCTTGTTCAACTTCATTCTTGCTTTCAATCAGAAGTAAAGAATAAAGAAGCGAAAAACAAAATGAAGATATTTATTTTTTCGTTTTTTATTTTGCTTTTTCAGGATCGATTATTTTTTGTTATGGAATTTGTTAATGGTGGTGATCTTATGTATCGCATACAACATGAAGGAAAATTCAAAGAGCCAGTTGCATGGTAAATTATAATCATTTTCGTTTACAAAGATATTCGAGCGTCTATCCGAATGAAAATTAAAGAGTCTTTTTTTCTTTTTGAAGTCAGAAACTATTGATATACGTGTCCGAATGATAAAACAGATGGTAATGAGAGAAACAAACGTGTACTCTGTCACTATTTGTAAATGAAGCGTAGGTTTTTATTAACGTATAATTGCAGAATGATTTCTAATAATAGCTTTCTTACAACTATGGAAATCTTGACATTATTTAGAATAATTCAATTATAGGAATACGAAGAAGAAACATTCAAAGATTAACAGATGTTTATCGATTAATAAGGTCAAGCGGATCTTCATAATAGCAAAAGAAAGATCGGCTGATAGTTGAGTAAGAATGAAACTAATGTTGAAAAAATGAACATGATGATATGTATCTGTTTGATGTCTTAATTATAATGTGTTGATAACGGCTATGGTCGGATTGCGACCGAAAATTAAGTTAATTAAGAAAAAAAATGGTCTCAATTCGGAATGAAGAATTTTACGTTGAACTCATTTTTTATGCGATTCCAAATTGCGGCCACTTTTAATTGATTAGTTATCAGTATATATGATGATGAGTCGTACTGTAATGACAATGTTGATATATAAGCGTGAAAAAAAAGATTTCTAGTGAATATCATACAATGAATACGAACTTTACTTGGTCAACTACCGAAAAAGGTGAAAAGGCTATTCTATACAATAACTATTTATTTTAGTTAAGGCGAGAAAATAAGAACAGTCCATCACTTTATGTCTGCACTAATAAATGGTGCTCTCGTTCTATAGCATTGAAAAATAATGTAATTATAAAATCAAATGGGGAAAATCATAAGCATGAACCGAAATTGTCAGAAAATGTTCAAAAAGCTTTGCGTGCTATTTTTCATCGCTACATCCACATTATAAAAGACAGTAAATAATTAATGCGTCTGATCTACTTCATGGTCTCTCTTTCATCGTGGCTAAGAAAAATGATTTACGAAAGAGAAATTATATTAATATTGGTCAATTAACTTATCGAACACTTTATTTTTTTACGATTCTTCTTTTTTTATTGAATACACATAGCTTAAATACTTAGTTTTTTATATCCTCAAAAAATGTCACAAACGATTTTTCTTTCTTGTCCATTCGATATATTCACTTTTCGACATATTAGCTATCGACATTTTTATGCTTCGATATTTTCATCATTTATTCTTTCGATATTTTTACTTTCTACATTTTTATCTTCTACCGAAGTTGAGATTAGCAATTGAAAAGTGGTCACAATTTGGAATCGAATAAAAAACGAGATCAACGGAAAATTCTTCATTCCAAATTGCGACCGTTTTTTTCTTAATTGGCTTAATTTTCGGTCGCAATTTGGAAGCTACGTTGATAACAGTAGTATAAAATCAATGTTACCTGATTAGTTCGTTCTATTATTGTTATCTACACAACTTCAGATATTAGTTTGCATCTTTACTTAATTTCGAACATGAAAAGAATTTGATCTAATTCAAACATTATGTTGTTTTGTCGTAAAACAACAAATTTTTCTTTGATCTTTTTTCTCGATTGAACTTGCTGCTTGATTATGTCACCGAAATTTCGCAGGAGTTTTATTGTAATCGATTGCTTTCTCCATTTTACAATACATATCGGTGTACTTTTATTTTAAACTAGTCTGTATTAATATTTGACAAAAAAAAAGAATTAAATGCATACAAAGAAAATTCAAAGAAGATTTCTGCATCATAGATGAACTATTTGAAATTCTTTTATTTTATTTCATAAATATTTCTCTAAAACATTTTAATCTAAAGATGACACAGCAAACGATTTGAGTTTATCGGGCACAAATAGATCTTTAAGTAGGTGATGATCTTAATAGAAATTTGAGAAATGTGAAAGTAGTTTCTCAATGGAAATGATGAATGAAATATTTATTTTTTATAGTTTTTATTCGGCTGAAATTGCAGTTGGTCTTTTTTATTTGCACAATAACGGAATCATTTACAGGTATAATCGACAATCGACTAAGAGATATGAACATTTGTTTTTGTACTCTTCTTTTTTAGAGATCTAAAACTGGATAATGTTTTGTTAGATAGAGAAGGACATATTAAAATAGCTGAGTAAGACAAAAATAAATAAAAAACCGACGATATGAATTTATTTGTATGTTATTGTTCTAGTTTTGGAATGTGTAAAGAAGGAATCATAAATGAAGTCAAAACATCAACATTTTGTGGAACTCCAGGTAAATCATGGTTTTAGTAGTTTCAAATTGTTGCTACATGACTTTTATTCTTTTAGATTATATTGCTCCCGAGGTTAATCTTTAAAAATATTTGCATTATAAATTCAATAAGTAGAAGTTTGTATTTGTACTTACAGATTATTTTAAATCAAAAATATGGGAAAAGTGTTGATTGGTGGGCATATGGTGTTTTACTTTTTGAAATGCTTGCAGGACAACCGCCCTTCGACGGTGAAGATGAGGAAGAACTTTTTACAACTATTAAAGATCGGAATGTATCATATCCCAAATCGATGTCATTCGAAGCTATGAATATTTGTAAAGGAGTATGTGGTTTATTTTCTTTTTAATATTTCTTAAAACAAAAGAACTATGAGCAATTAGTTGCGTATGATCATATCATACGTTGTCTACATGACATTCAGAATCGATAATTTTAGGAGAATGAACGTTTGAGAAAATACACAATCAAAAGGATTTTATGATCAAGCTGACTTGATAAAAAAAAATTTCTTTAACGAAGAAAGTTGTTGTTGAACTCTCCATTCTGTACCTTAGGTAAAATGTGCTCATTCTAGGTGTTTGATGCCTTTCATTTAGTGAATAAAGTTCGTTGAAAATTTGTTATCGAGAGCTTGAATCATCATATTTTATTCAAAAATATGTTTTCTTTTCTCTACTACATGGCATTGTTTGCAAGACTTCTGTAGCTATCTTTTTGTTTTTAACGAATGTTCTCCTTTTCTAGAATACTTTTTATAATTGGAAACAAAATTTAATAATAAAAGAAGAATATTCTTCGTGAACTAATATTTTAAAAAGACACGATCTGTATGATTATATTTAAGATGTGTTACATTGTAAATGATGATTTCTTGTTCTGTCGGAGTTTATGCATTTGAGATACCGTCGTATCTTCTTGAAAAAAAATGATATTAACAAGAAAATTTTATCTTATGAGATAGTTTCTTACAGAGATGGGCAAGTCAGCCTTTTTTCCGACTCAAGTCAAGTCAAGTCATTTTTTGAAAATTCCGAGTCAAGTCAAGTCAAGTCAAAAATGACTTGACTTGACTGGTTTTAAGTCAAAAATGACTTGACTTGCCCATCTCTGGTTTCTTACATTTGAGCAGAATAGTTACAAGTACAAATCATGAAATGCAAATCATGAAGTAAACTGTAAAATATCGAATATCTATCATTAACCAGAGCACACGCTCTGATGAAAAGGATGAAAACCTAATAGTCCTCCTCTACTCATGCAGACAGTGCTAATTTTGAATGTAGATATGCATAAAAATTAGCCCGTTTTATGTAATAATGTCATACGTATTATAAATTTATTTTTATCATAAATTTAGATACAAAAAATACTTTCTAGTAGCCATTTTATATGAATACAAAATGATGTTAACGAGCTAATTATGAGTCACATGATCAACAGTGTTGAATCAACATGAATGAACTTAGCTTTTCTTGGTGACATTAGATAGATTACCAAATGATGTTCGTTAAAGTTAATTGTTTCTAAGACATCTCAATGTAAGAAAAAAGTTGATTGACAACAACTAGAAACGATTTTTGAGAATCAATTAACAACGAACCATTTATCCATCAAAGGACAAACTCAACTCAAACCATCATAATTACTTTACCACAAAGTCAAAAAACCTATTATACACATCATTAAATTTTCATCTATTGTCTTAATAGAATCTGTTTTCATCTATCTATTTTAGTTAATGACAAAAACTCCTCAAAAACGCCTTGGATGTCATCCAATAGATGGTGAACGTGAAATAAAGGAGCATTCATTTTTTCGTCGTATCGATTGGCAAAAAATTGAAGCACGTGAAATTCAACCACCATTTAAACCTAAAATAGTACGTAGAGAACTTTTCATATAGATATAGATCAACATATATTTTCAATTTAAAATTTAAAACATTATATTTTTTACATTATTCTTTACGTCTAGTGGTAGTTGTATTGTGTTTGTGTATTGTCTTGTTTTAGAAAGATCCTCGTCAAGCTGAAAATTTCGATAAATGTTTTACAAACAATCCATATAAAAAGACAGAATGTGATAAACTTGTACTTGCTTCAATAAATGATGATACGTTTCAAAATTTTTCATGTTATAATCCACATTTCATTGGTGGTACCAAAAAATGAAATAATCAACACTATAAATATAATACACATAGCATGTATATATTTAATTAATTAAATCAGTGAACACATTTTCGTGTCTTTTGTTTTCAAATCTTTTGTCTGCTAATCGTGTGTAAGCGTATATTTTCGTGTTTTTGTTTTTTCTGCACTATGACCCGGTTCGTGTCTTTTCTTCTTCCTTTTACAAAATCAATCTTGATGGTCAAAAAACGAATAAGCAAATTATCAATCAGAATAAATATATATATTATGTTTATTCCATTGCTTTTTCGTTTTTCTTCTCAGTAGTGGATTATTTGCATGTCATTGCTTTTATTTCGTACGTTTACTTTTCTTTGGTAACTCTTGTTTATATCAAGATCTGTCAGTATATATATAATTTTTTGGCGTTCATAGATTTCAATGTTGCTTTTGTATGTATTTGTGTCTTAATGTTATATACGTTTGCGATTTTAAATGTTATGTATTTTCGAAGCTTCTGTGACATTTAATTTATTTAAAATAATGTCTGAGATGGATAAATGAAAAAAAGATAATTATTTATTCCATAATCAGTGAATGATCTAGAGAAATCTATTGTTTTGACAGCGATATTGAAATACAAAAAGAAAGCAGAAAATTATTTGCAACCTTTTCTTTAATTTTTCATAAAAAAACACCAGTTTTCTCAATGATCGCACACGTACACACACCTAAACAACTTCGTAGATTACCTAATTTTTCAGGGAAAAAAGCTTACTACCAGATTTTTCCCATCAGTATTGATGTTTGTCAGCAATTTCTATTGCTCAAGAGTAAGTAATGATTAAAAGATACTTCCCCTATTTCTATAACATAGAATTTTTATTTGTTTTTCTTTGTGAAGATTTTACTATCAAAATATGTAATTATGTAAGAGAAATGTTAATTTTTAAGTTGTGCCCTATATTTTCGTTTAATTTTAATTAGCCACATAAAACTATCGTATCGATGTTATAATATATTTTATAGAATACGATAGAAATGAGTAATCAAATTTCTTTAATATGATGACAATATATACTATTAGCTAGAATATCTATTAAATCAGGCTCTGTACATTATGAATAAATGTAGAATAAAACGGTTTCATTGACATCCTATGAGTTTAATATTAATATACATTTACTAGTTGAACATTTTTCCTTTTCTACTAAAACTTTTTTTTTATGATGAACTGTGTGAAATTGTCATCGGCATTTATGTAATATGACTTAAATAAGTCTTCTACTATTTCATTTTGTGAAATATCATCAACATCATGCATATTTTAGCAATGAAACATATTACAGGCGTAGCTTACAATCATACCATTGCCACCAGTTGGTCCTGGTCGATAAATAATATCTCCCTCTTCCTTATAACCGCTGTGGGTTCATCAGTATAGACTTCATGTCAATAGCGTCTTGTTGGAATCTATGAACTATGCCTGGATTGCATTTATGAGAGACTAACTCAAATGATACAGAAAGTAATGTTTCAAAACAGTTCAATAAAATAATTTTCATGTGATTTGCATCAATAACTATGTTGCTGCTGCATATTTTAATCCCATTAGAATTCTAATAACATTTTTCGTGAAATTATTCTGTTTTACTTTTCGTAAGATAAAAGACTAGCAAAAATATTGAAGAGTGAGATGGTGATAAATTGATAATCATGATTTTGCTTACGTTTTTTCACAGGTAAACTACCAAGACACATCAAATTTTGATGGAGAATTCACTACTGAACCTCTAAAATTTACTCCGTGCGACAAGCAACTCATTTTAAATATGGATCAATCTGACTTTTCATCATTTTCATATGTCAATGAGACATTTACAACAACGCCACCTCTAGCTTCCGTTATTTAGTAAAATAGACAACAGAAACAACAACAAATGCTACAATATGGTCGTACAAAAATTGAATTATCATAATTAATAGTGATTTATGCCAAAAATATTTCTATAGTGTGTTTTGATGTTCGTCAGTCTTTGTCATTATTATATTTGCTATTATTATCCTTGTATTTGTTTTTCTTCTTTATGCTAATTTGGCCTCGTTCTTTACTCGTTGTAAATTATATTTATTTAAGATAATAAATCTGTATTCAATGTTTTATTCCTTTTACTAAATGTATATTTTTCGAATTATTGACATAACTACTTTAATAAAATATATAACATTCAAACGTTATTTTTGATGTTTTTATTGAGTTATGATTTTGACCTCAAGGACTATAAAAATGTTTTCTATTATTCATGTATACACTAAAATTTCTCTAGCGGATAACTGACTAGTTTTTCTCTTTATCGTTTATTAAAATTAATTTAAACAAGAATTAGCTATTCTACTAGATGCTACATTTGAAATTATATACAGATTTATTTAAGTAAAACTCGTCATCTATATAATTTCATTCGCTCATGACTATAGGTATGGATGCAATTCTACGCTATAAATTTTCGATTTTGTTGTATTCATTAAAAATATTAGACTGTGTGACTTAATTAGATTGCAGAAGTAATTTCGTACGTATACTGTTATAAGACATTAGTATCAGAACTATTGTGTGAGCATATTTTATTATTCAGTCTATGCATGACATTCTCTTCAAATCGTAAATAGGATTTCTCACGTATACAATCTGTCCCTTTTTGTTGTTGATAACTAAAATTATCAGCTAGAAGCTGTTTACCTTTGAATTGTGCATGTAGAAAAAAAAATCTTACTGAAGACTTAAGGTTATTTTAAGAGGCACATTTTTACAACATAATTCTTTTTCGATACTTAATCATTTACGTTATGTTGATCTGCAACATAAACATGTTTTCAATCAAATGTGTACGAAAAAATAATTATTTAAGTTGTGATACTAAAAATCGATTGGCAAGAAATTTAATGTATTTTGTAAATAAAAAATGTATAAATCAAATAAAATTTTCATTATAGTAGATGGATCTTGTCATAATGTGCCATACTAAATGCTTTATTTGTCGATAATAAATAATTGTAAAAGAGAAAATTAGTTATTCAGCACGAGTCACTCGTTATTTACACCATCGAAAAACAGAATTGCCTTCTCGTTCGATGTTGATAGGTTAAATAAGTAGATCATTTTTTTTATTATATTATTGAAAATAGATTGATTATTGTACGTACTCGGTTAATTTTTTCTGATAAAGAGTATCATGAACAAGATATTAGTAAAGATTCGTATGATGTAATGTTTTTAAAAACATATATAGCAATGATTTTATTAAAAATTAGAAGTTGACATCGAATCAGACAGATTGTGCAACAAAATAATATACTTCAATTTTATTTTTCTTCGTCTCTAAAACCATCTGCATATTCACATCTTAGAAAAAAATCATTATTATTAATTAGTAATACAATTCACAACTAGAAATATATTTTTGTTTTTGATAATTATTATTTCGAATCATCACTTATTTGAACTTTTCTATAGTACGGGATTGTATAATCAGAACAAAGCATTAGATAATACGAATATTTAAAACATAGCTAGTTTCTTGGATTCATTTATGAATCGATTAATTGGGTTACAAAACAAAATTGAATAAATATAAATTTTATCGCGGTTTATTTAAATATTAGCTGCATGATTGCAACATATAAATGCGCGTTATTTTATACTTTGTCTCATTAAAAGAAAGAAAATAGATTGCACAATATTAGAGGTAACATCTATGAACGAAAAATAATTAAAAAGACACAAAAGGGGATGTAAGGAATGCAGGTAATACAATTAATTCTTGTTTCTATATTCGAAATAAATAGAAGGAGAAATAGTGATCACATATACACTTAAAATAAAAAGAATTGCACGAAAAATATAATAATGGAAAGATAAAATCGAGACATTAATTTATTTCTTATTCATATCAATATAATCAAGATCCAGTTTGAAATAAACATATGGATAATATTCTTGTTGTGACGAAAACACACCGGGAATGTCCATTGGCTATAATGAAAAAAAAGGGAGACATGCAAATAGATGAAAAAGATAAGTAAAATTATTTTACTTCTTCTTGTTTTGATCTATCGGATTGGTCAAGATAACCAAAGAGTTGATCAAGAGCATCACGTAAACGTTTTGTTGATTTTCGTGTTGGTTGAATGACGATGGCAATAAAATTAACTGGTAAACCAAATCTTCAATAGAATCATATGCATATTATTTTCGACAACTTAGAAATTCTGGTTTTCTTTGTTGACTGAAATTCTCAAGACTTAGAGAGCCTGTAAACATAATATCATCTTTTTCCTGGAAAATCATATTCATTGATATTAACTTCTGAATCTAAAGAATAATATTGAGCTTTATGATTTTCGAAAAATAATGGTTCCTTATGATGCAATCAAGTCCGGAATGATTCTTAATAGCATTTTTTAAATGGATATTACCCACACTCGTATCCTTCTAGCGACAGAGAAATAAGATTTGTGAATACCGTCGTAGAAAACGATGAGTGTTAGTTAGAAACAAAATTGATTAAGATCTTTCAGAAAATTATCATCCGTTGCCGCTAGCTTGATTAAAATCAAAGTGTTTAGAAGACCCGGGAAAAGATCATATCCTTTGCAGTAAAGTTTTCTGGAGAAGTTGTAAATTTAAAAAAAATTCGTATTGTTATAGGCAAAATTTTTCAATTAAATATTGATTTTTATCAAATATTGTGAAAGTATATTAGACATTGAATTCGATGTCTAAGGTATGATTTCATATAAACTAAAGGTATCTAGGGTTGCTTTGCTTTTTATATTGAATGAGAAAAGTTGTTTAATCTTTATCTTGATCATCTGTAGTTGAGTTGTCGGCTCACAGTTTCGAAAAAATCTTTGAAACATGAAAAGATTACTTTCAAAAAAGTACTGATCATCTAATAAATCATATAAAATAGTCAGGAGCATTGTTTTGCTATATTATATGAACTCGAAGATAATGGAAGTTCGTAGAAAATAAAAGGCAGTATATTATAATAGAATAAATAAGACAATAGATTATTTTTTTTCGCTCGAATATTTTGTAAAAACAGCCGTAAACATGTTTTATTATATCGAGCAATTGTGTTGAAAGAACGAAGGATTTTGTTGTCAAGTTGTATTATGTAGTAAATATCTCATAAAACAAGACAATCTTCAATGACGGCTCTAATCATTAGTCTCCATTCAATCTATATTTATGAACGAATTATTTCCGAAAAAGATCCTTTAATATCTTACTAGTCAATTGACAGTATAACCATTAGATGACAGCATGAACGAACAACGGTACAATTAGGATTCAAAAGGTAATTGAAAAGTGGCTCTAAAATCCTAATTCTATACAGATCTGGATGATGGATCTCAAATTCTTTAATACCTATCGAATAAATTTTAAAAAGAAGTTTTAATTTCGCAATACCTAAGAACAGATTCGACGAAAACTCGTAATGCCTTAATATGCATAGATGCCGTAAAAATTTCACCAAAATTAATTTTAAGCCAACGAACAAGATTAGCATAAATTTTTTGTCGTTCAGTTTCAAGTTCTCGAATTTTTTCGCGTTCATTAGCCAATGCTTTTTCATCGAACAAAAAATCTCGTACTGTAAATCTTAAATAAAATGAAAAAAAAAATAGAACAAAAACGAAATTTTCTGTCATTTTCATTCACTTGTTTTCTCGACATTTATGTTTAAATGTATCTTCAGTTTTTTGAAATAAAGTTGCAGTAAATAAGGCATAATCTTGATCTTGTGTTATCAATTCTGTTGTACGCGGCACAATCATATTACACAATGATTCATATTTTGCATACCAATCACTTATTAAAGGTTTTGGTACACAAACCAATAACGTTTTTAAATATTCACTACCCAAGATGAAATGTTCCTTTTTTAAAACATCATTTAAATTACGTGTTAATAAACTACCACTAGAACAAAAATAATACTATTAGAATCATAAACCTAACCAGAAAAAATTAATTACTTACGTTTGTTTTTTTTCTAATGATTCTAAATTTTGTTTAACATTATTATATGCTTGACTACGAAGTTTAAGTTCGCTTTCAATATGTGTTGCTCCCTTTCAAAGAAAAATTTTCATTAAAAAAATAAAATATTAAATAAACGCGATAGATTGAGATTCTTTGAAATGATCATTCGCTAAATCTCGAATTATCATGTTTTATGCAATTTTAATCATTCTTAAAAATACATCTGTCTCTCCATCGGAGAAAACCTAAGATAACTACCGTGTCAACATGTGTTTACTAATAGATGCTTATCTAATATTTCGAACTCGTGATCAATATCGTATCGTCAGTGAAAATTCTCATTGAACTTCTTGTCAAAAATCTGAAGTTAGATATAATAATACGGAAAATATATGATATCATACTGAATACTTAAAAACCAAGTTACGTGATGATATTACAAAAAACAAAAATTTTCAATAAATTCATTTTAATGGTTCAACATGTAGATCTTCTTCAAATATTTGGTTATTTGGTTGAAAAATTAGAATGAACTTTTTATTAATAGATAACAAACTATATCATATGTTTATCGTGACTAACAAAAAAAACAAGATTTCACGAATAGAACTTTCAACGTGACTATATTCTATTGGCGTATGCTAGATGAAATTTACTTTCCGTTTATAGTCTATTTATAAAGAAATATTTTTGGTCGAATTTTTAAAAAGTCTCTCGTAAAATTTACTAATGAAATGAGTGTGATACAAACATTTTTTACACTATGATAGTTTTAAAAAGTATCATTGAAAAAAAAGTAAAACTCACTTTTGAAATAATCTCCGAAAGATTTCTTAATGATTGTTTTGTTGGATATTTTGCATGATCCCATTGAAAGTCGGTAACATAACGCATGGGGTCGACTAATTGTTTTATAAGATTCAAAGAATATAATAAATGATAGAGAAGAAAAGCATACCACCATTCAGACCAACTACAAGATTTTCAGCAAGACGATTACGATCATTATCAAGTACATCATGAAAAAAGAATTGAGTTAATTTTTTCGTAACTCTGAAACAAAAAGGAATTTTCTCGATTTATAATAAATAATCTTCATTTTCTTTTTACCCTTCAATGTATATGTCTATTCGAGCAAGGTCATCCGAAAGTGCAACAAGTGAATCCAATGTACCAACCTGAATGAAGAAATGTGTCTTTATCAAAATAATGTCATCATTTTATTTAACCTTTAAATCAGGAATATTAAAAATATAATTTTGTGATAACTGATCACGTCCAGTCACTTTGCAAACTTCATCATAACTTTGTCGTGGTGTTGATTTGCCAGGTACAGATATAATCCAATATTCGTCTGACATTATTGTGAATGTAACCGAAGAAGAGAAAAAAAACAAGGAATCTAAAATAAAAATATTGATATGTTTGTAGCAAACATAACATGACTAAACACGACTAGAAAAACTATTTCTATGATGATGGTGGTTTATGTTTGTATTGATTATTTTATGCAATTCAATTGGTTTACAAAAAGGACCAATGAAAACATTTTAAAAGATATATTTGTTTAAATTTAAAAAAAAAGTTTGTGATAATTAAAAAATGAAAAAGAATATACACTTTAGAATGTTTATTCTAATTGATTTCTAAATTATCACTAATCCAAATGAAAAAGTATGGATTTATATATCGCTTATTTTATTCGAATCGTGCGTTCTACTTTCGTTTTTTTCTATTATCGCAGGTTATCGCGTATACATGATCTTTACTGATCAATATCTTTCTTTTTTTCTTTGTGATCTTAAAGCATACTTTAGACTACTGATGATGACTTATTCATGTTTGTTTTTATTTTTTTTCCTTACAGCAAATCGAATCTATAGAAGTGTGCGTACGTATCAATTTTTAAAACAGTGAACAACAAGATTTTTTTTCCTCTACTTACATGTATCTCCATTCTGCTTCTGTATTCTTGTGTCAATAGACTTCGAGCTAAAAAGGACAAAAAGCGAATTCAAGTAGCCTTTGTCAATGAGAGAGAGAGAGAGAGAGAGAGATACTCGAGAAATCAAAACACTTTTCTGTATAGGACTGTTATGAAGGATTTATATACAAAGTAAAAATGTGAAGTAGACTTTCCTCTGGATATCATTTCGATGACATCAGTATTGTTGTATTTATAAATATTCTATGTTCAATAAAGAATAGATCAGTGGCAATCATAATAAATCATTTCGTTTTTTTTTCTGATTTTAAAAGGTATTTCATCATAGTTGTAATCGTTGTCGATTAATGTCAATCAATATCGAATTTCAGTTTCAGTTGTTTAGGATAAATTCTAGTAAAATAAAGATATTTGATCGTTTAGTCATGCAATTCTTTTCTTTTTATAGCAAATAAAAATATTTAACTAGTCGAATATTCTTATTACTCAGTTGTACATCCCATCATGGTCATAATAACGCCTATCGATTGATTTTCCATGTTTTTAAGTATCCAAAAAAAAAAAGTATCGTTCTATCTTTAAAATACAAATAATATAAGTCTTTTTGACTGTACACTTAGCATTCGAACCTGAATTAAAATTCTGTTATTACAAATATATTGATAACTTTCTTTTTGCTTGATTTCACTTTATACTTTCATTTATGCACATCGTCTTACAAGTGATGCATTTTCACGCAATTAATCACCCTGCCAAGAAATTTCCACTAGCAATATGCAGCTATTTGAATATAGATTTTTTGCGCTCACTAAAAAATAACTCAATAAATTGTTTTGAAAATCAAGGCTAGTTGAGGATTTATTGTATACGAGAACAAAATGTCATTTTGTTTCGTCTATGATGTTAATTTATTGATTCGGACTTACAATAGTGTCTTATTTAAACGAAGATTAACTTTTTTCCCCTATCCTAATGTAGGCGACATGACATAGTTGTACTACATGTTCATTTAATTTAGCCTTTGAATTGTTCTCTTTTACGAAGGAGACGAGATCGATGTTCATGTAATACTTATTATGAATACATATCGGTAGAAGAAGAAAAAACAACATACGAAGACTACTCATACATTTTATTTGCTTCTAGATCATAATGCTTAGCCATCTTCGCCGAGGACATCATCATGAATTCGATGAGTAAATAAGAATTCTTACAATTACTATCGATTTGATTATTTTTTTTCTTCCTTTTTTTTTATCTAGAACTTCAAAGCCTATGCATTCAATGAATAGTAATGGAGAACGTTGGAAATCATCAGGTAAAAATCTTTTGAGTTTTATATGATCTTTTCTATTCTTACTATCGATTTAATCGTTCAATCATATAGTTTATTTCTTGGTAAGCTGACTGTATGTCACCTGTGCTGTGTATCTTTTCTTTTTCTCGATATGAAACGGTTTTTCAACAGCTCTTTTATATTATGATATTGATAAATGAAGTAGTGATTGTTATGATTGCTTGCTAGTCTTTTGCTTTTGTTTGTTGGTTTTGGTGACATAAAACTTCCACCTACATCGATTTCATTAAGTAATTTCTTCATAGATTTTCATCACTTGTGTGTGAAGAGTAGGGTGTGACAAGTACCATACCAATGAGATATCCACAATATCTATTTCTTCTTGCTCTTTCAACTCTTTTTTCATCTACCGTTTATGATTTAACCCCAGACTGTTGAATGCATTCCCTATGCCACTATTCGTTCTTTTATTTGACAAACTTTTATAATTTTTTTTCTTTTACTTCTCTTTTTTTCGTTTTTCTTCTGCTTCTACAAATCGCTCGTCGCCGCCTGTACTGTCAACCATAGAAGGAGAGTTCTACTAGTTATAAACAGCACAATTATTATTTTTCGTTTTTTTTTATCCGTCGAACATACATAAAGAAGAGGAAGAAATTGAAAAGAGCGAGAAAAAGAAAAGACAGGAGTCGGGATTTTTAAAACGACACACGTCGACCATCAACACCTTTTTTTCCACTTAATTTGAATCAAAACAAAACAATATTGAATTGCCATTACTTATTTATCGACATCAACGTGATCTATCGATAAGAGACGTACGAAAATACTGTAAGTGAGGTGAAGAATCGAATCTCGAATGAGTTACTTTGGAAATTCATCAGTTTTACATGGTGGTCTACCTGCCAATGCCTCTATTGGACGTTACCATCTTAGTCAACCATATAATGGTATGTTATTGTTGTTACTATTGTTTCACTTTATTACCTTTGAACACTTGAATGTGGTATGACATTAATCTAAGAGACAATATTCAATCTTTTTTTTTTGAATAAATGAAACTACACAATTTTTATTTTTAATATAGATCGAGCTAATGCATCTTTCGGATCGAATAATCTAATGCACGATGCTTATTCACCACGTTCAAATGCAACTGCGCTCAATCCTGATTTGTCACGAGCACATCGTTTCGATACTTATTTATTAGCTATTATACGCATTGAAGATAAAAGGAGTAAGCTTACACTATTGAATTTATCACTGAAAATCAAAAATCGAATTGATCTCAAACTGATAAATAATCTGATTATTTTCTTTTCTTTTTCTTTTAAATTTAGATGCTTTTTATTCAGCTGAAGTTGTGAGTAAATTACGTCAAAAGGAACAAACGCGTAGTTTTATTAATAAATCATGTTCTTTATTTGTTACCGATCGTTCTCTTGTTATATTCGACCGAGTATCACAAGTGAAATACGTTTTTTCTTCTTTTAATTTTTAAAATAAAACTTCTATAATTTCATTAGGTTGTTGCTGAAACAATTCCACTTGAAAATGTTGATCCGACATGTGTACATGCTGATGTACCCGATACACTTAATGATATATTCATGTATCGTTTACTCGATCGACAATTAGCAACAACAACAAGCCATGCTAGTAGTACGAATAGCAGTGATTCGTCATCTGTTATTGTATTTAAATGTTCGAATAATGAGGCAAAAATGCTTGTGGATAGTATTCGAACTGCTACTGGTAAACCGTTAAAAAATCTAAAAAGGTATAAAACAAATATTTGTACTTTTATTTGGTAAATCATAAATCTTGAAATCTATATAAAAAACCATTAAATCATTACGTATGAAATGAATACTTACGTTTAGGAAGTTGAATGTTGTTCATCATAAGTTTGAAATCATGAGTCAATGTGTTAATCGTTTCCTTAAAAGTAATTTCTCTTGAACCCTTTCCAGCCGGCTCCCAGAAGCGACATAGTTAAAACTCTTCTTCTGCATATATTTTCTTATCCTACCATAGAGATAGCAAAAAAATATTTCTTAAAATTGAACGGTGCTTCTATGTTGAATAGCTGTATATATGTTGCCATTTGGCAACAGTCGGCCGTAAAGGGTCAAAACTTTGAGAAATTCATTTGTCGTTTTCAATCATCGAAATTCACTATTTTGCGTTCCTTTCATTTAATTATTCAAGAAAAAAGTGTAAAAAATATTTATGATACGCCTGCACAGTTTCTCCGCGATTCAAATCAACTTTTGTACGAAAAAGTTGACATACGTTGAACTTAAGGAGATAGTAGATGTATGGGTTTTTGTGTTAGTTGGCAGCAGGATAGGTATTCTTGTAGATCTTTTATTTCTCTACATCGGTGCCGATACGTAAATTAAGTATCCATTTCCATACCAGTTATTGAGAACTAAAATACTATCATGCTGACTTTTTTTTAATAGAAAATTCCATTGAAAGCTAGGAAAAGCTATGTAAATGCACCAGATATGTTTTGTATGCTTTGTTCTTGTATGAATAAATGAAAAAAAAGCAAAATAGCGAATACCGATGATCCAAAACAAAAAATGATTTTTCAAAAGCTTTGACCAATCGCGGCCGGCTGTTACCATTTGGCAACATCCATACCTCCTCTTATTGTCAGTACTCATTGAATCATCTCTTTGAGTGATACAATATACAATAGATCAAGGAGGGGAAATTTACCACTAGTGACGTGTGGGATTGAATGATTGAGGGTACCATAAGAACATCTATTATGATTCAGTTGTTCTTTAGGAGTATTCAGGAGGACTCCGGCAATTTTCTCAGCTGAACGTTTTTGTTTTGTTTCATGGACTATGAGTATGTTCTAAAATATCTTGTAGTAATTATTGAACTATTGATTTACTATCTGTCCACAGTATACCTAGACCTTTCTTAAAATATCGGTACAATGTTGCCAAATGACAACATCCGGCCGTAAAGGGTTAAGAGATATATTAATACACCATAGACACGGCCATATTCGTTTATGAAACACGATCGAAAAGATATATTGAATTATAGCAATAAAATTTTGACCGTCAATAGACCAAATTGTAAGAATGTGATAGACGTTTTTGATTTATGATCTGTGATCGTATATATATATATTAATTCTGAAGAATTACAAAAAATTGATATTAAAGAAATAAATTTTCAAATAGAACAAAATCCATCTAATTATCATCAGTGATTACATTAAACACAATCTAATATACGCAAGAATGTTTTCATTGTTGTTCTGTTCCACTTTCTAAAAGTATCGCAAAAAAAGATTTGGATTTTTTTTATACTTTCCAAGCCATACACCTCCATATATATGATAGTTTATGCAAAAACAATTTCATTCTTATTTAGTGCTCCCACGAATAATCGTAACGAGCTTGAACGTCGTACAACTGATCTTATCTTTGGTGCAGCACCTCCTGTAATGCAGCACACGAAAACAGAACCACCACAAATAAATAGTAAATAAATTGAAATTTCTATTGACTGTCTTTAACTTGATACGTTTTTAAAGGTTCATCATACATAGTCAATAATCAACAAACACAGACCATGACTCAACAATCAACAGTAGCTGCAACTGATTATTATAAACGTTTAACAGAAGAATTAAACAAGTGTTTTGATGATATTGAATTATTTGTGCGGTGTCTTGAAGCATTAATGGAATATACCAAAGAGTTAGAACGCGATCATCGACGAAAAGATAGAAAATCAGCTAGTCAGTTTTATTGGTATCTTTAATTTTTCTCTATTTCGATTATATTTTCTTTGCAGCTGGTTTAAAACAAATGGTTGAAAAACTTCCAGATGATCGTTTTTTTGTTGATATATTACAAAAGTTTAAACATTCATTTAATTTATTAGGAGAACTTAAACATATAATACATAATCCAAATGCACCTGAATTAGTACATTACATATTATCTCCATTACAATTTATTTTATATACCTTGCGTACGAAACATATTAATCAATTAAAACTTGCACAAGACATAGGGGTACCAGTAATAACTAAAGAAGCAAAAGAATTATTATTAAATTGTTTAACATCCAAAGAACATGAAATTCTACGTAATCTTGGCCCAGCATGGATTCGAACAGCGTATGATTTTGAATTATAATTAAGTTTTTGCTATATTTTCATTATTATAGTGATGAATCAACACCGAAATTTTCCGATTATCGACCAGTGTTTTTTGAGGGTCGTGCTGTATGGGTTCAAAATACACCAAGCGAACTTCCTCAACCATCACCATTACAATCAACACATAATAATGATCATGCAAGAATTACTCATCCTTTCACCAAATTTGATGAACGACAACAATTAGTTACGACTACTGTCCGTGTACGTTAATTAAATAAAATCCTATTTTATAAATATAAACATGAGTTTCCTTTTTATTTAATGTAGTCAACAAATCAAAATAATAATAATAATGGTTTAACAACAAATTATGGTGCAACAATCGGTCGACAACCGTCACCCATAGCTGGACATTTTGATACGTCTACTGTTGATCGTTCAGGCAAAAATGGTACGTTAGAGAATTATAATTCTCAAATGCAAAATGAACATGCTTGGGCTATTGATCGAAAACGAGCTGGAGCACAGTAAGTGAAAATAAACAAAAAAAATAGCACTTTTGTTTTTCTTACAAAAGAATTTGTGCTGTGAAAATTGATCGTAAAGGACAAAATCAGAAAGAATTAACTGTACGTCGTGGTGAATTAATTGAAATCGAAGATGATTCAAAGAAATGGTGGCGTGCAAGAAATTTTCATGGTGAAGTTGGTCATGTACCAAATAATATTGTCGAAGAAATTGAAATAGAACATCGGCCACTTGTACCCAGTCAACCAAACAATAAAAAATAACGCGTAAAATTTTAACAAAAAAAAATAAACGTAAAAACCGCACCTTTTTGGATTTTTTTTCTTCGTTAACGCTTATTAACGCGTTTTTCGCGTTCAAAATTTTAACGCGTTAAAACGCATTAATCTGATTTCACAAAAAAGAATCGAAAAAATATGAACATTCCCCGATTTCTTTCCGTTCTACCTTACAGCGTGCTCCAGACCGTCCTTTTGTCTAGTTCGTCTGCCACAATATAATTAAATCATTTAGAACTTACTGTGTTATCCTAGATTCAAATATGTGATGTAGTAGTTGTAACCCAGAGATGTTATCCATTCGAACTATTATGCGCTCGGGTGCTTAAGTGAAAAATACTACTTCACGTGAATGAAATTTATTTTTAAATTTCTCGATTTATTATAGATAGTATCACCATCGGTACCACCTGGAGTAAATTTAATAACTACAAGTAGTCGTTGACGTAATAATTAATTGGAGCAACTAAAAAGAATAAATAAATTTTCGAGTTTCATTTTTCCTTCATTTTTTCCTTGTTGCGATCGTGTGCACACTCTATTTTGATTGTCTTTATATGTATACGTAAAATGTAGGTTCAACTGTTTATTCTTTTATCTAAAGTAGCGATATAATTGTTGATGTCAGCAAAGATAATTTATAAACAGTGAAATGCTATTAAAGAGAATTTCAAATGTTTTTCTTTTTTCTTCTTCTCTCTCTCTTTCTGCCTCTTTTTATTCGTTAGCTTGTATGTGCAGAACAGTATCTTCTATTTTATATGAATTGACTGCACAACTGAAATAACTACCTTATCATATGTTGCAATCATTTTTCTGTTTGTACATAGAATTTTTTCCAAATTATTTTGTGAGTGTCTGCTTTTCTTTTCTTTTCTTCTTTCCTTTTTGTTGTTCAAATAAAAATTGAATATAAAAGAAAAAAAATCTCCAGTTATTGAGCATGTTGCCTGTCAATAGTAGTCATCTTTTTACTTGCTGCCGTAGCTTCTATTTATTTAAAATAACCAACAAGATAAACATGAATGGTCTATTGTTCTCGTTTTTCTCTGGATTTATGTGTATTTCGCACTCTGTTTAATTGTACAGAAAAAAAAACTTTCCACAAATATATTTGTGTGTATGTTTCGTGTGTTGTTATAAGAGAAATTTTAATCTGTACTCATGTTGATTCATTCTTTCATTATTTTTTCTGTTATTTGAGATCTATTTGTGTTTCTTTCTCTAAATTCTACAAAATCTTTTTTTTTTGTTCTCGTTCAAATACATAAATAAAACAAATGGAAGTGAGAAAACTAGAATTAGAAAAGATGATAAGATCAAATACATCTATTTACATTGTTCTCAGTAATGGGACCGGTTCGAAATAGTGGCAATCGATTTCATTTAAATATATATTCGAATATATTTGGAAACCTGTTCATTTAAAGT